ACGTGGTGGCATACGTTTTGGATACTTCTTGCAAAATTTTCAAAATATCAGCAAAAATAATCGAATTTAGTTCTAAAAATGAAATGTTTAATAATCAATTATAATGAATTATAATGGACTTTTATTTCAACAATTATTGATTATAACCGAATATCTTGGCAAAAATAATCGATTTCCATGCCAAAAATATTGGATTAAAATCAATTATAATGGGTTATAATGGATTTTTTTTTCAAAAACAATCGATTATAATCACATCATAATCGATTTCGTGGTCTGGATTTTACATCTTTAATGAAATATAATGGATTGTTTTTATCTCCGGATTCCATTATACTCCTTGAGAATCTATTGGCGGTCGTAGCGGGAGTAGAACTAGATATATTCATTATTACCATACTAACAACGCACCTTCTATTATAATTGATCTCCGCGATAATCATTTCATCACAACCGAAAAAAAATTTATCCTGATATGCCGGGGCAATCAGTTTTTCAGCCTTTCTTCAACTGCTTGTTCAAAGAAGTAACCATCTCGCAACCTCATTTGACATCATCATCTTCATGAAGTTCCATTTCTTAGCACTATACTGTTTTTCAATTACATATCTTGCAGTGAAAACTGTTGTGATCTGCAAACTCACCGTTACATCCAAAATCAAGAAGGCTGTTTGAAGAATGATGAAAATTGTTTTCATCTGAAAGACGAAATTTTTATCGAAAACTGTTTTTCTTAAAGTAACCGTTCGGTACAATCTTATCGTCGACAATTTTTTGCAGAACAGAAAAGCATGTGAATCATACCTCAATGAACATCGATCAAATCGGATCGTTCATTCCAGTCTAACTCATAGATTGAGACAGGATTTGAATCAATGAAGCTCAGCTTAGAACAAAGAAGTCATTCATATCATCATTTTAATAAAACCAAAATATTGTAGAAATCAACAACTCTTTCAAAGGCATCACAAGTTTGATAAACTCATCGGAGCAAACCCTTTAAACACTCTTAACTTTTCTGTTCACAAAGAGCTCGCCGAACTTCTATAAAGTGCACACAGTTGCATGCTATATATAGAGCTTACGACCCTATTTTACAAACATCGTCATTGCATATTGCATACAGCAGTACTCTCGAAAAACACTAGAAGTTAAACTAAAGTTTTGCTGTAAAACCTTATTGAATGTTTTAGTTTTTCCCTTGCACGTTCTTGTCCCATTAATCTGAACATAAGAGCTTTCTAATTACTCTGGCTCTGTCTATGTTGAAAAAGAAGTAAAGCGCCCCTGAGCTTTCTGTACCGACTTTCGTAACGAAAAAAAAAACAGAATATTTGTGCTCGGAGTGGTTTTTTAAGTAGTCATTTTGACGGATTTTTTAAAAATCATTCAAGAGGTACTGTTGTCCTGAGATTAAAGTTGAAAAGATATTTTACCTGTGATCACTTGTAAAGTTATGGGGGTTTTAAGATTGCCGTTTTGGCCAATTTGGTACAACTAACGCGCGATATATTTCGCGCTATACTCGCGTAAGCGGAGATTTTATCCGTCTTAGAAATCGTTCCAAATTGGTTGAAGGCAACTTGTTTGCCAAAATTAGTTTGTTACTAGAAGCGAAATATATCGCTTTTTTATATTGTGAGCGGGGTTAAAAAATTGCCATATTATCTTTATTACATCATTCAATTTTTTCATGTTATTACTGCTCTATATACATTAAAAGGCAGTCAATCTTCGCCCTGATACGAGCAATTTTTTTGAAGGGTTTAGTTTTTCCCTTGCACTTTCTTCTCACTTTAATCTGAACATAAGATCTTTCTAATTACTCTGGCTTTGACTAACAAACATCTTGAAAAATAACTGCTCGCCATACTAGTCTACAAAATAACAAACAATCGAAAAATTTTTCCCGAACATTTTTGCCGACAACAAAATCCAACGCCAAAACCTTTCTAGCATCTGATGTTGAATTTCTGACTAGTTATTCTTCTAAAATAAAAACATTCTAAGCAAATTAAAAATATTCAAAAAGAAAAAAAGTACGTTTGAGTTTGTTACTTTGACCAACCATTAGTTTAGCCTTGAGAAGAAGTTTTAAATTTTGATTTTTTATATGGCTAGTTATATGTTTATACAATATATACAATTGTTTTCAAATGTAAAACGGCTTTTCAAAATTTTTCCTTAATCCAACGGGAAAGGAATATTTTGTATGCCGGAAAACTATATATATATATATAGCCGTTGAAATAAACCAATTAAGGAACCCTTTTTAGTTTTTCTTGAATTTTGTATTACTTTATGGATTTTTTCGTCATAATAAGGTCAGTATCTAAAAAATTACAAAATAACCTATAACAATCCTTTGAAAATGGATTATAAAAAATTTAATTTTTTATGTCAATATAATCCAATATATTTGATTACGATCCGTTAAAAATTGATTATAATCCTAATACTTTTGCGCCAAAATAATTCGCTATACTCGATTATAATCGATTATAATGGCTTGTTTCGAAAAATTGTTTATGTCGCGCGAGTCATCTCATTTCCTGTTTAGTGCTGCGTATAACATTGCTACGTATAACATATTGCGGAGGGGGTGAGAATTAGAGAATGGGTTAATTATACCCCCCAGTTTACCCGCAACCCTTTAGTTGGGCGAAAGAAAAAAGCTTGAGGAGGTGACATTGAGACATGGTATTCAGGATAAGACATGTCATACATTTTGTAAACTTCTTGCAAAATTTGCAAAATTTCTGCAAAAATATTCGAATATAGTTCTAAAAAAAAAAAGAATTGTAATTGTGTTTTATTATTTAAAGGAATCGATTATAATGAATTATCTTGGCAAAAGAATTCGTTTTCAGTGACAAAAATTGCGTTTTAGAATCGATTATAATGGATTTTATCGGATATTTGTTTTTTCAAAAAAAAAAATCGATTATAATGGCAATATAATCGATTGCTGAATTTTACATCTTTAATGGATTAAAATGGATTGTTTTTGTCTCGGGAATCTATTATACTAGGTTTAAATCCATGGGTGCTCGGTGCGGGTTCAGCTGTTTCTCAAGAACTCTGGGGAACAAGAAAATCCGTAACATTGTTGAAATAAGGTAGAAACGCTCATCAGTCAAATTTTCAACAGAGTGAAAACTTCTACGAAACCACGGATGTGTGCAAACCTTTTAGAATTTCCATTATTTTCTCATTTCTTGCTCTCCAATTGGTTTTAGATTATTTAAATCATTTTAAAATTTTGTGTACACTTATGACAGCGTGCACTTAAATTGCTTCAATTGTATTCAAACCCAAATTTTTTTTTGAAGCTTGACTAGCCTTAATTGGCAGACCATTTGCAAGGATATCAGAAAAAAATGTATCTCTCTCTCTCTCTCTCTCTCTCTCTCTCTATCTATCTATCTATCTATCTATCTATCTATCTCTCTCTCTCTCTCTCTATCTCTCTCTCTCTCTCTCTCTCACACACACACACACTCTCTCTCTCTCTCTCTCTCTCTCTAACGTTGCCTTCTCTAGTGTTCATTTAAATGTTTTGAGACTAGAAAATAAGGGTAGGGTTAAGAACAGTGTTGAGCTAAAAGTTTGCACCAACTTATCCGGTCCCGCACTCAGTAAAAAGAGAAAATGAACGATCATTTTACAAATATAATTGTACTTTCATCAAATTTAAAATTTATTATATGCGCCAAAATTAGATGTTTAAACGATTTATAATCCATTATAAGGATACAATTTTTTCAAACTTATAATAAATTACAGTCAAATACAAACTATTTATTTTTTTTCGAAATCTCTTATAATCTCTTATAATCTTTTATAATCTCTCATAATCTTTTATCTATTATAATCTATCATAAAATATAAGCAAATCAGGTGCAAGGTGAAAGACAAAATGGACAAAAAAGGGATTATAATCAATTATAATCGATTATAATGGATTTTTCTGCAAAACAATTGAATTAGAAACTCGGATAAAAATAATTAATTATAACACTCGATTATTGATTATAAAGTATTATAATTGATTATATTTGATTTCAAAAAGAGAGATAATAATCGATTATCAGTGCATTAAAATCAATTTTTTGCAATTTTTGTAAGACTGGTTTTAAATTCATTTCATAATCGATTATTCATACTTGAGACTGGATGCGTGGTGGAAAACAAAATGCGTGAGGAACAGATGGTGTACTCTACTTTACACCACTCAATTATAAACTACTCTATCGGTTTTTTTTATATAAAACTATAAGTTCAAAGTGTTGTTGCGCTGATACCCGTTCAAAATGATATATTTGATTGCTAATATTCGACCCGTTTGTTAGCACATTAATCAGTTCTCGGAGGACCAATACTTGATTGTCGATCGCTACTAGGATACCAAAAGTCAACAAAACTTAATCGTTAGTTGATCGCTGACTAACGACGGTGCCATCCCAGGTAAACTTTTATACAATTAAAAATAAATGTGCTGTTTCTGTATTGTGATTTTCCCTGTTCAGAAATTCGATTTTTCAAACCGGTATTTGAATTTGATTTGAGTTTTCAACAAATTTTGATAGACTTCCAGACGGCTCTTGAACGGCTCCTGCCAGGAAGTTCAGAATTTACCGAGGACTTTGTAAGTTCCTCTGATGCTGTCCCCGAATATTTTCCTCTGCTATATCAAAACACGGGATGATATGATCGCTATTTTGACGTTTTTAGGACAGGCGCGACCTTAATCAGAGCTAAGTGGATCCAATCAATCGTTCAGAAGCAACTCGCTATGATCATGACTTCGTTAAAAATCAACCTATCCTAGCTAAATTATACCATCAAATACACTTAAAAACCAGCATAATGAGTTTGAAACACGTGAAACTTGAATTAAGTCAACAGTTTGGAAACAAACAAAGAACTCGTAAGTTAGGATTACACACACTTAGATTTTCACGATTTCAAACTTTTTGAGAAATAATTCTCATTAGATCTCATTTCGTGCTTATGCCGGAGCAACAAGCCGATCCCCAGTCGTATATAAGTGTCCAGATAGTCTGGGTGCCATTCTGCGTCATCTGATGTTGCTGGAAGTACACCCCGTCTTTGTTAGCCCGAAAAACCTAGAAAAAGAGTATCGAGTAATTTAATTGAAACGGTAAATTATTATTTTTTTCCAGAAAAATGCGAATAGTTTTTCAGGCTCTTTTTACAAATTTTCACACTAGCGCGAACACATTCGAGACTATCGCGACTATCATCCGGTCTATCGCGAATAACTTCCAGACTACCGCGACTAAAATCCAGTCTATTGCTTGTAATTTTCAAACTAGCGCAACTAATGTCCAGTCTATTGAATAACGTCCCGAATTTCAGTGCTCATATTTTTTCAGTCTATCGCAACTACTTTTAAGACTATCGCGGATTTTTTACAGACTCGCAACTAAAGTTCAGTGAATGCAACAAAAAATGCAATATCTCCAGATAAGCTCCGCGAGTATGAACCCCTGTCCAGTCTATATATAATCGGTCGCCGAAACAACACCGGCGCTGCTATTAACGAAGAAAAAAGTTTGACTGACATTACGAGGCCAAACTGTGCATTCTCTGCATTGTAAACTCAATCCGCAACAGGCCAAAATCATATTTGTCGCGGAATCCGCAACATTCCTTCTTTTCTTTGATGTCCTATGCTGTTTTGGATTCCAGAAACAAATACCTAAAACAATGCACCGCTCAAAATCGCTCCAAAAATAGGTGATTTTGTGGAATCCGCAACCGTATATGCGGAATCCAGAACAGTTCGTGGAATCCACATACAAATTATAAGTCATGTGTACAGTTACATTCCGATGTCGCGGAATCCGCAAATTGTAAGTGGAATCCGCATTTTGTTTAAGGATTCCACTTAAATTTTGCGGATTTCACTTACATTTTGTGGAATCCACTTACAGTAGCGCAATCAAGAACAACTAGCTGAATTGGCTTGTTGCGGAATCCGCAACAAAACAAATGTGCCGACAAAATTTAGGTTAATCCACTGAAATTTTGTTTATGGAATGCACTTACATTTTGGAACATATTTAAAGACTTGTATCTGGAATCCAGGAACATACAGACACAAAATTGTGCTCCTATCCAGTGCACAGTTTGGCCTCGTAATGGAATGTGTTGTCCCTGTCCACTATATCAATGCGATTCTCCTGCGCTACCGTATTTGCCAAAAATCATGATCTATGTCGCTCTAAATATGAGGTGTTAGCGGCTAATATGAACAAACTTTTTCATTAAAAAAAACTATATATAAGTCACATATCTTTTTGTCTCCTTTTTTTGAATTTAAAAACGGAACAATTTTGCTTACACTTCAATTTTGAAAGTAAACTACGGCCTTATGCTTTTGCCAGTGCTTTCTTATATTTTAATTGAGCAAGATGTGGCTCCGACTTATCGAATGGTGAACAGATATAATCTTATAAAATGTAGCAAATTTTTAACTAAACTAATGCTCTAAGCTAAGCTTAAATTTAGTAAGAAAGTAATGATTATGATTCAATTGAAAAGAGTCTTTTCCTAACTAAACGCAAAAACTCTGAATTTGCTCACTCCGATGGAGATCGCTAGTAATCGTCAAGGTCATACATAACCTGGAAAAGTGAGTAACTCGTTAAAATAAATTAAGGAAACACAGCACTTACCCCATATGGAAAAATTTAAATTCCATAAATTATAGATGCAAATAATCAATTTTTCTCTGGCAGAGAGCGAAGACTGACAAAAATATGTAAATAAGAATAAAATACTCTAGTCATGTATGAAAAATTTGCACCAAGGTTTAGGTGAATTATTTTTAGATTGCACTACTAAAGCTAAATTTGAGCTTAAAAAATGTCAAACGCAATTGGAAAGTTATTGAGGTAAAACAAAGTTGTAGAATTCTGAATTGAAAAATTGATGAACCAGTTTCAAATTTTTGAGTAATATGGGGGGTGACATTAATGAAAAGCACCCACTGATTTAAGTAGTGATAAGTTCAGTGTTATTTTTACCACTGTTTGTAATCTTGTATAAATTCGGTGGAGTCACGTATAGAAAAATTTGACTGGCAATTAATTAAGCATCCGGTGGCGAACGATTTTGTCTAAAAGGGATTTTAACCTACTCGAAAGGAATTTGAAACGAATTACAAATGAAAAGCCCCACAACATTTTTGATCTAAAGAAAATGTACTCGCAAGTTCTGGAATTGAGTTTCAGGAAAAACTTTTTCGAGATACGTTTCGACCTGTCTTTTGAGGTTGCAATCTAAATCTATTATTCTGCAATGTGATCACTAATAGCGTCTTTACCGAGGATGATCAAGTACTCTGCGCTGCCCAAGCCTTTTTCACCTACAACATCTACAAATAAACTTTCACCTGAGATATTTGCAGATCCAACAATTCGCCTAGACCTTGTGGAAATACAGCTATAACGTGAAAGTGAACAGGCATTTCGAAAACTGGTCAGTTTTTGGCAGAATAAGCATCGTCTATTTTGAAAATTGGCGGTTGTGAATCACTTTTGTCCGCTGAGGTTTAACTGTTCCACAGGAGTGTCGTAAAAGTCAAATGCAAAAGGAGGCTGGATTGTATCTCGAGCTCCTAGTTCAGTGCAGTTGGAAGTTTGAGCAGGAATGATGCTTATCAGGCATTCTGTTGATGGTCCCTGTTTGTCTAAATCTAACTCCATATCTCGTGCAAGTTTAATTGGGCTACCAGTTGGAGTGGGGTTTAACGGTTTGAGTTTGAATGGCCGTAGTTGCAAATAAGCACTTTTCTGTCCTCTCATCCAATCAATTCAATTTGTTGTATCGAAAGCAGAAGGATCTTCAGCTAAGTAACCTTGGGAGAAGTTCTTCCTTTTGTTTCTTACCGGAGCCTGTCTTCTTCGGTTTTTCATTACTGGATCTCGTCGAACGAATCTCATTCTGATTGTCATGAGATTTTCTTATGGAGAGACTTCGACTTCTTGCTATGTTTTTTGCCAATTCTTCTGTTCTGTCACACTACTTCGTAAGAATGATTGAAGTCGCGAATGGAAGTCGCGAAGTCCAAGTTGATTGGATGAGTTTTCACATGTCAGAATTAAGGAGAAATTTTCCACTGGCTAGTTTTACATTAGTGTTCGAGCATTGAAAGATTTTTCGAGCCCAAATACTGATGATCTTCGTCTTCGGCAACTTCTGTGGAAAAGAGGGACTTGGATCGGAGTCATATCCTTTCTTGACAGGTTGTCTGTTCTTGTTCTCTAGTGGAGTGCCTAGATAACCATACTCCACTCTATCATCTGCCCAGTGTAAAAATCATTGATAACTTGATAGACTAAATTTTCCACAGAATTTTTGTTTTTCTCTTGAAGTGTTCTTTCGAAAAGTAAACAATTTTTTTTTCCTGATTTATAATCCGAAGAATCCAAATGATTTTAGAAACTGAACAGTTTAGGTAACGTTTTGGTATTTTTGATGTCCTCGATTTTTTTTAGTTTGAGAAAGTTTCAAGTTTCTCCACGGGTCCCCAGTCGATAGCTGTTTTAGCTTAGTTAATGGAAGTAATTTTAGCTCTAGGAATTTTTGAGTATCTGTCTATTGATGAATGGATATAATTACTATTTGAACCCACTGGGCCTGCAAAATCTTAACTAATATCTTAGTTTTGAATTTTTAATTCGCAGACCTTGAAAACTTAGTGAATGCTTTGTAGACCTTGTAAGATGTATACCTGCTTTGAAGCAGTCTCAGCAGTTCTTTCCTTGAAAATGAATCATCAGAGTTAAGTGTGGCCACCAATTATTCTTTGAAACGAATTTCATTACAAATTGGTCTGGCCGACCTTCGTGTAACGTACGGTGATCATAATTTGTTATCCATACATAATACGCCAATTGAAGCATTGAGATCTTTATGAAACTACTTCTTTCTCTTCTTATGCTTTGACCAGGGGTTTCAAGATGTTATCTTCTGCAGTGAGCTGGACAATTTTTTTTATCAAAGAAATTGTTAATTTCTAATGGCCTTTTAGGCAATTTGAGATACACGCGGCATTGTTTTGGTTATGGTAGATTATTTGGAGGACAAAATTCAGCACTATAACTTACAGTCAAATCGGATGAAGAGTGATTAATTACAATTCCGTTTTTTTAAATTTGTTTTTTTTATAGCATTAGATTCCATGGCCGTTTTTAATAATTTTGAACAAACAGTCAAAAAACGCAAAAGGCAAAAATTGAGATGAAAAATTAATAGAAAAAATAATTTCAGAATAATCCGACTGAGAATATCTAATTTTTCAGAACGGCATTGCTTACACTTTTAAATTTTCAATTCGGAACTAGCTGAGTTTGGAAAGCCCGCGACAATCTTATAACATTTTATTCTGTCAATGGATTTTTCCAAAACTTTGATTCTGTGAACTTGAACTTGACTTTGATTTCTCGAAATATCCGATGGATCTATAATTGAAGTGATTTTGGAAGTTGCGGCTCTCGCATTTTTCTTTGTCATAATTTGCACGTGATATGGGTTTTTTCTTTAGAATTTTTAAAATGAGTTTGGTAAAACCCATATTTTTTCGGCAAAATGGTTTTTTTTTCGTGAATTGCAGAGTTAAAAACCTGCCAACTATCTTTGCTAAATTGCAGTGATATGTTCTCTCCCTGTGGATACAAGACCAAGCGGGAACTAATGCTTTGTGGTCTGATAATATTTCAAATTCAGCCCCGTACAAATAATTTTTGAAATTTTCTACGGCCCAAACGACTTGCAGCAGTTCAAATTTGATCGTTGAATGTTTCGCGTTGTAGGGATTTGAAAATTGAATGGCAAAATTGAGTGGTCTTCATCAGTCCCCATGCATTTTTGGAGCGTAGCAAAAAGACCGTTTTGTGAGGCGCCTATTTTAACTTTTGTATTCAAATTGATGTCGAAATTGTTATGTTCTGTTTGATTTTCAATTTCAGAATTCAGCTTTCTGAAAGCGATTGTTTAATCTGCCGACCAACTTTTTAGTAAAGGTCTTAAATGGCTTCCAGGAGTTGCCATTTTTGGGAAAAAATTCAATAATTTTTTAATCGATCGGAAAAATGGGCGCAGTTTCTTCAGATTTGGAGGAAATTGTATGGAATAAATTGCAATTGTTTGATCTCTTAAAGGGACCATTTCGAACTCCAATATCTTAAAACCGAGACATTCTAGCTCCTTTTTGAAGTATGTACCTTTAATTCTTCTTGTCATCGACCTAAACTATCTCTCGATGATCTTCAAAACATCCATCGGAAGAAACTTAAATGTCCATTATATATAAAAGTGAAAGGTTGAGTCTATCTACCTTTGAAACCGATGGTTGAGTCTATCACCCTTTGAAAGTCAATTTGCAATTCGCCTAGTCCGTGAAAACAAGTTGAAAAACTGGAAACTGGAAAGAACCGTTCTTACTTCCGCACACGATGAAAAAACTGCAATGTTTGCCCGCAAAACTTTCCAAATTCAGTTGACTGTGTGCGTTTTTAAGATCTAATTTTGCAAAACAAACTTCTCCGAGGAGTTTTTGAAGAAAGGGATGCTACGTTATCTACCAGTTGGTGAATATCTGCTATCTGATATTTATTCTTACGAATTTGTTTGATTTCAATTTTCGAGTCTAATTCTAGCTTTATTGACTTTTCTTTCTTGCAAGTGAGTACTATTAGGCCGATAAGTCTATCTTCGTCGCAGATAAACTCTTGATTTACTGCTGGGGGTAGATGTAAAAAAGCCTTCATTTGTATCGATTTGAAAGGGTCAATAAAATGAGTAACGTTCATTTTTTTTTCCCATTCAATTGATTTTTTCGATTTATTTCCGATTCTACATTCCAAGTCTTATTTTCCAATTATATTTTCCGGTTCTATTGGGGTGTTCTTGAAGTAAGGAAAAGATGTCTGTGCAAATTCTATCCCAACAAGGGGAAATATATTCTTTCTCAGTATGTTGTCGTTTTTCTGGCTGTCAGTAATGAAGAACACCGTTCTATCCTACGACCATCAGTTAGATCTAGTTGGTATTATCACTCAAATAATAATCTTTGTTGTCCGTTAAACCGCAGTAGATATCCTTGGTCGATTGGGTCGACTGGTCGACTGGGTTGATTTTAAGATAGAAGTCACCAAAGTTAAGCTTTTGTAGCACATTCTTCCTTAGCATGCTCAGCTGTCTAGTTGAAACCATTTGGATTTTAAGATGAACCAAAACCTTCATTCCCAAACCAACTTTCAATAGTTTTTTTGACATCTCTCCTTATTCATCAAAAATTGTCGCCGGATTGAGTACAGAATAGTCGTCGGAGTCACTTTGTCTTGCCTTTGACTATGCGTTTATTACGCTGTAAGGTTACTTACATGGTACAGGGTTATTCACAACAGGCTGATCCAATGGATACATGGCAAACTCATGGTTAATGACGATGTTTACAATTTTTTGCTGGATTCAAAGATCCTTGTTATATGCCTTTTGAAATTATACGAGGTACAGACAGCGTTTTTTGTAAGGCTTACAGCGAAGTGTCCCTTCACAAATTTACTGCCACTTTTCAAGTAAGGGTTCTCTCAATCTATAGCGAGCGTTGGCTCTCGTTCATTGAAATTCCTGTATTCATTTATTGAACAATAATGTACAAATTGTGACGATTCAAGAGCAATTCTTTTGTCATTTATTGGAATATCGTTTAGAAGTTTGTGAGGCTTTCGGGTTTCGGTGAAGAGCTATCGTTTTTTTTTCATGGTTCTTCATGTTATTGATAAAACTCTCGAGAATCCATTCTTACTCTCCGCTGGAAAAGTCACCTTTTTTTAGCCATTTCAGGTAATGCGCCCCAGAATTATTCCAGCTTTTCTCTCTCTCTCTATCTCTATCTCTCTTGCGTCTGTTAAGTGGATTGGGGCATTCGAATGTCACATTCGGTTTTCTGATATATACTTGATTTGAAACGTCACAGAGTTCAGCGATGCTTATCCAAAATATTCTGATTTTTGAAAACTTTAGAGCAAAAACACGTTTACTTTTGCGAGCTAGCGCTAGAAACATTATTAGGCGGCTTCTTCCATGCGCATTTTGTTGAATGTCTTGGTTTCTAGTTTGAGTCTGAAGTGCTTTAATTCGAATGGAAGAATCATTTTTCTTCCGAGTTCCTTGCTAATCATTCAGTTTTAGCCGTGATTGACTCGTTTTGTTGCTCCTCTTCTAATTTTAAGGTTTCATCTTTCAAAAAAATCAACGGAGTCAATAATCTCTCTTTGTATCCATTTTATTCATTCTAAAAGCATCTGCTTAACTGCAGTCTGCAGTTCAAAATTTTTCGGCAGGAGAAAATAAGTCAATTTCTCAAGATATGTTTTATTCGACTAAATTGGCAAAACACTCGAGATCGTGGTGTAATCTTCAAATTCTACATCAACCGCAATCGCAATATTCTTTTCTAGAAAAAACCATGACTTGTAAACAACGATGAGCTTTTGATGTTGAAGTTTGGCGATCAGTTTCTTAATCGAAGAAAGTTTTACCTCACACAAAGAAAGATTTCTATACTTCTGAAAACAATGTTCTCTGGTGTTTTAAAGAAACTGATCCCCTGAGCTGAGTTTTTCAAACACTTGTTTCATCTGTGAGTTATTTTGTGATGCTGTATGTGTTTAAAAGTTGGCATATTTTTGCAGGCTGGTTAAGTTGTGCTATTCACCTTTTTTCTATGATCACTTAGCGTACCCGCACTGGAGTTCCATGGATAATAATCGATTATATTGTCATTTTATAGTCAGTCTCTATAAAATTAGAAAAGAAATGGATTACAATCCATCAAAAATGGGTTATAATCCTAGTATTTTGTATATCAACATAACTTATTTATAATCGATTGTAACCCATTAAAAATGGATTATACTCATAAGATTTTTAATCATTTCAATCCATTGTAAAAGATTATAATCGATTATGATGTATTTTTTGAGCATAAATTAAGAATTTGGCAAAAAAATTTTCAAAGTTATCTTATTTCCTGTTTCGTGCAGTTGCTACGTATTACGTTTCTTAAATGTTTACTTATCACAAGATTTTATTTATTTAAGTTTTCTCTACTTTTTCTATACTACGTGAATTCCATCGCCTCTTTGAACAACCCCCTTCCGCAAATTAACCCCCCCCCCCCCCCCAGTTTACTCCTCGTCAGTTTACCACCGCCCCCTCCCCCATCCAGTTTTCCCCTCGTAAGTTTAACCCCCCATTTGCGTTGAACCAACCCCTCAAAAACCTTAAAAGGGTAATTAGAACTTTCATGGTTTCGTTCCGATACGAGCAGTATTTTTCTTATCCGAAAACGTTCCAATAGCTAAACTATCTTAAATTGAAGCTTGTCCGTATCTTATAGACTAGTTGTTAAATCGAGTTGACTATGCGAACGCGACTTCGTTTTTAATGGATGACTCCCAATTGTTTTTTTTTGTTGTTTTCGCTTACTCATGTGTATATTTACAAGTTATCGCAATTGAATATCTTGTCCTGTAAAAAAAGTACGCATGACAGACGCAGAAGATCAAAAAAGATTTTTTTTCATATACTTGTAAACTTGAAGTGAAAAAACTGCAAAAAGTCAAAAAAAACTGTAAATGGGAAATTTATTCGGCATAACTTTTCTTGATATATTTTACCTCTCCCTCTGTCCACTGGTCCTCTAGTCCTCTGGCCCCCCAGTTGACAGTGGAGTCACTGACGTGATTGGATGGGAGCGTGGGGGGCATCACGAGCACTGGCTTGAACTTCTGTCGACTCTGAGCCCTCGCCTCCCACCAGTCCTGAAATTAACATCCAGGGTTGACAAAAAAAGCAGATGCAGTTGCTGCCTCTTTTCCAACCCCCTTATTCCCACCCCTGCCGTACTTTTGAAATTAAATTTGAGCAATTTTTTTCAATTTAGTCAATTTTGAACATTTTAGACAATTGTGATTTTAATTGGGATTAGCCATAATAACACATAAAAACAAATAAAAAATTTGAAATGTTGAGTTGATAAATTAAAAAGAACACAATTTCTATATTATCTTTCATGTATTTCTTGCATTTAAAAACTTGCGTCAACACTCTATGCACCAACGGATTTTGGGGGTAGGGGAGTTCGGACGCCTCGTTTTTCAAGGATTCGACCCCCTGTTGACCCAAAGGATCCCATTTGTAATAATTTGACAGACGGACCCTGAAATTTTTATAAAGGCGCCTTCGGCGCTAATATGTACTAATTTCGAAAGGGAAACGCGCACCAAAAAACGCAATTGGCCTGTTTTTTCAATTATTTGCCTACGGCGCAGATTGTTTGGTCAGAACAAGGTCTTTACTGTTTTGGGTGAACTAAGAAAATTAATTTAGTCCGACTAAATTATTTTTCCCACTTCACCCAAAGCAGTAAAAATACCCTGTTTTGGCCAAATGTTTTGAGCGCTCAGAAAATGACTTTGGTCGACCTAAATACATTTTTTGAAATTCCCCCATCCCTCGAGAAACATCGCCCCTGAAATTAGAGATTTTTTATTTAGAAGCAAGTAACTGCTATACCTAATGAGGTAGATCATCTATAGGTGAAATGCTAGTAATAGAGTAAGGGGCAGATCTAAAGTTCTCATGAGGGGGAGCGGACTTTCAAAAAAAATCCAAAATTTTGTCGATTTCTTTTAAGTTGAGTCAACCTATAAAAAATCGACAGTCTTTGAAATTTTTTGAAAATCCGCTCCCCCCTCGTGAAAATTTTAGATCAGCCGCTTACTTCATTACTAGTATTTCACCTATAGATGATCTACATCATTAGGTATAGCAGTTACATGCTTCTAAACAAATTAATTTTGATTTCAGGGGCGGATCTAGATGTTTCTCGAGGGATGAGGGAAACTAAAAAAAATTGTACTCTTTTTAGTTCGACCAAATTAATTTTCCTAGCTCTCCCAGGACATTCTTACAACGATATTTTGACAAAAAAAAATGTGCCACAGGAAAACTTTTGAAGAGCAGTTTTTGAGCACTTTTTGGGAAAACTTAGGTTCTCTTAGTAATCATAATGGTTTAGTGAAAAACCTTCTTGAGAATACAAAACGAATTGTCAATAAGAGTCTGAAGTATTTGTAAAGCCTCATTTTAGCAAGCATAACATATATAAATCAAGTTGTTTATTTTGATGCGTGCGGTAATTGCAGGAATAACCTCGGTGTGATAGGAGTTAAGATAAGAAGTTCATATAGCAACAACTTTGGTGTTAAGTCATAAAATATTTTGGTGTTTAATTGTATGGTACTAACACGGGTTGACGTCCTCAAAGGAAATTGCTTATCATACAATTTCATATATGGCGACTAGGGAAAAAATGCTTGTCACACAATTTTATACAAAATTTAAAAACTGTATTAAGAGTTCTTAGAGAAATACTTCTGATCTATTTCCATCTTTTGAATCATTCTGCTCAAAAAAAAATGATTTTAAATTCGGTCAAAAAAACGTGAATCATAATATTTTTGTGTATGAAAATTGTATGACAAGCACTTGGCTATAGAAAAAACAAAATCTTCAAAAAGAGTTTAACGATGTTTCTGGATGAATTTACATAAGTTTTTAAAAAATTTTTACTGAAAGAATGCCTTTTGACTCTCCAAAACATGATTTTAATGCTTATCATATAATTTCCATATATGAAAATTGTATGATATGCATTTTTTATATGCAAAACTCAAATTTGAGGTAAAAAAATTTTCAATCCGTTTTTTGGTTGCAAACGTGCTTTTGTGCTCAAATATAAATTTTTGCAAAAAAAAAATTTTTGCATGCAAAATTTGATTTTTTGTGTTTAAATTGTAGTCCAGGATGAGTTTTTCACCCAAAAGATAAAAACAAAGTTATAAAAAAACAGGCCTTTTTTCTCAACTACCAAAATTTTCAAACCAAAAGTTATCTAACTATATACAATAAGTTGTGGTTGTGTTTTTAGATATATATTTCCATGTGAAAATATAAAAACTAACAAAGGTGGCAAAAATCACCAAATGCAGCGTATCTGCGTGGTAACTGCCAGTTACACTCTGGGTTTTTTGAGATAAAAAGTCCAGGATTAGCGTTTCGGATGAAACACAAGTTTTCAAAACAAACATTTTTTGGTATTTTCGTTTATGGAAAAAACTCTCATCATACAATTTCATAGTATGGAAAAAATGCTTATCATGCTATTTTCATAGTTTTTTTGGTCTATGAAATAGTATGTTAAGCATTTTTGTCTTCCCGGGAAATTGTAGGACACTTTTTTGTCAGAATTTCAACACAAAAAAAAAATGTTTTGATATTGAAGAGTAGCAAAACGGTTTTAATTTTTTAGCATTATATGAGTTCATTTTTTAAATGTTAAATGGTTTCAATTGAATAAATAATAATTGATTCTAATTTTTTATTACTCTATGGTTTCACTTTTTCTTACACAAATCAGTGGTAAGTGATTAAAAGTATTTGTTTAACCTTAGTGGGAACAGTCATCCAGGTGTGGCCGACGTCAGAAGATGCCATGTATGTCCTCTGGCTCCTCCCGATGGCGAACAGCTGGAAGTCAGGACTGGCCAAGTAGCCAATCACGCCTGCCATTATCTTGCTCAACACTACACACATACAATAGACCAAATCAACATCCTCACCCCTGAAGTCTTTAGTATCAGGCGCGAGGGGGGCGGATTTCAAAAAAAAATTTGAAAATTATGACGACCTTTTTTTAGGTCGACCAAATTGATTTTTCGAGCTCTCCCAAACGACTATAAAGACTCTAGTTTGACAGAAATTTTCTGTGCCGCAGGCCAATTTTGAAAAAAGGCAAAAAAAGAGACGTTTTTAGGCACTTTTTGGAAAATGTTGACCAAAAAATTGCGTTTTTTCGGCGCCCCCCCCCCCCCTCAAAATGAGTATAGATTGGCGCCAAAAGCGCCTTTAGAAAAATTTTAAGGTCAGTCAACCAAAAATGGATATCTCAAAATAGTGCAAAGGGGGGACCCTTTGGGTCGGCAGGGGGTCAAATCCCTCAGGAGGAAGGCGTCCAACCCCCCCCCCCCCCCCCAATCCGCTTCTGTTTGGTATAACAAGTGTTAGTTTGCATTAAATTGCTACAACTATTAATTGTTTTCAGGTTTTGGGTGCTGGTGGTAAAAAAATTTTCTCTAGCTAAGTATGATTGGGGACTTTTTATGGCTAGAAATAGTCTAAGTTTGGCGAAGTTCTGATTAGAAATTAGATGAGAAACAGAACAATTTGAAAAATCTCTGCTTTATTAGAAAAAACTTGAATGAGAAACTCTGGCCCAGAACTTAGATTTGAAACTTGGAGTGTTCTAGCCAGAAATATTTTTTTTCTTTTCGGTACGGGCAGTTCACGTAATTTCCGTTTTTGTTTCCGGGTTGAGGTTTGCGATATATGTTTTTACCGACTCGACCCAAGCTCATTTTGTTTTGCCCATCTACACCAAAACTTAAATTATTACAACTAAGTTCTACCGAGAAAAATGTTCAACCAAGCTCAACGAAAAAGTGTTTTCGTACAGCATGATAGTCAACCAAATTTGACCGATAAAACACACAAGTAATCACCTTATTTTGTTCAAAGTAAAATTATAATTTTTGCCTTTCGCGTAATAATTTTTGTCAATGTTTGATCAGATCAAAAGCATAACTGTTTCTGGAATGGGCAGTGCGTTGCAGAGACCATATCTTTAAAGAAAAATCGCTCAATTAAACTTGGGTTTTTGTTTTAAAATTGCAACAAAAAAGGTTCACTAGCAAGTAATTTTTTTAAAAAAACTCATAAAAATTACTAGTTTCTCAAGTTTCTCAGATCCCTGCATCTCAAATTTTTGAAGGGAATCGCTTGAAACTTATGGTTTGCGACAACCAACTCTCCTTCGGTGGCTTTTGGAAAACGCAGCATTCTTAATGGATTTTTTTAAAATGAGTCGAAAGTTTTCGCTCAAACTTTTAACCAAAAACGTCTTTTCCTAAAACTTTTCCATAACTTTTACATTGAGATCGACTTTAGGTTCCGACTTTGACATCGAATATAGAGCCTTCTCGACTAAGGATTTTTAAATTCAACTCTGACATGTGTTCGACCCACCTCGATCAAAACACATCGCATAACTCGTCCCGGGTTTTTATTACATCTCGATTTTTATCGTTTTTATTACTTATTAAGTCCGGTATTATCCGTGTGACCAACTTACCAGTCCACCGGAATGTCCCGTTGAAGGTTGTCATCCGAAGACACTCCATCACGCTCTCCCTGAATCACCAAAGGTGTGTCAAGTTATGACTCGGTTAGACTTTTTGGTTAAAACCAAACCCCAAAAATTTGGATACTTCTAATTGACTTATCCAGGAAAGAAAGGACCAAGACACAAGCTGGTCATTTTTTCGGCAAGCATCTATTTGCCGTACTTAATCGACCAAAGACATTTCAGCCGATCTAAAATTAAGATAATCTGGTCAAAAATATACAGACAATTCTGCCACAAAAACGATTCGGTAAAAATTTAATTTTGAGACAATTCAGCCCTGTTTCTAATTGAAACCGTTTAAGTTATCAGATTCGTATCGACGTCTTTAAAAAATTTGAAGTCTCACTTGTGAAGTAGATTTTTCTCACACACATAGAGCGCTCTTCGGTCGGAGTCTGCGATGAAGCCTCTTGAGTAAGACTCGGGCCTCACCGCAACATTCGAGTCCCCATCACACGCTCCTGAATACGACAAATATTGTCACAGTTGTAAGAGCTGACAGCTGGCACAATTATACCTTGGCTGTGTACACACAAGCAAGGTAACGGTACTTCAAATATAAACCAGGTGCGTTCGACTGATATGCCATACTAAAAAGATTTCATGCAGAATTTCAAGTTGGAATTTCAAATTCCGGAAACGAACATTTCAGTTTTGAGAAAAAAGGCGTGAAACGTTCCTTTTTTAGAGCGAAGAGAGAATAGACAAAAAAAGTTAGTGCAAAAATTGAGGAAAGATATAACTGTTATCGAAACTACAAAGTCACAGACAGATTAAGCCCAATTAAATTTTGTCACTAATAAGTCCTTCTCACCTCCAGGTAATTGGTAGAGAATTTTTCCGTTACGAGAAAGTTTGCTATAAATAAAAATAAAATTTTTAAAAACATTTTCTATAGTGCAGTCGAGTGTTGGTCGAAAAACTTGCCAACGAATCCCTTTGTGGGCTAAAGTTAAGTTGTCTACAACTGTCTGCCTCGGCGAAAAAAAAACAAAAAAAAACTTACTTGTTTAAAGCTCAAATAAGAGTACCGACATTCGTTGGAGCCTTTTTTGCAACTTGTCCAGCAAACGATTTTTGATCCTACTAGAATATTTTTCTTTTTCATTTTTGACATAACTGTGTTATTTGTAATTATCTACAACGCAAAGAAAAAAGGAAGCAAAAATCCGACGGACAAAAGAGTTCGGCCGCTACTATCCGAAATGAAGTCGAGAGATACTAACGCATGTAGTCCTCAGCCGGAGGAGCACCAACAGACCCCTTGCACCCCGACAGTTCGAACCGCCACGTGACCCCTCCCCCTTTGGGGTCTACTTGGGTGAATATGAACTGGAGCCACTTGAGTCGCTGCGGAACCCGAATGTCGAAGTAGCCGACAGAGTATGCGGCACTGGTGAATTTCGAATCTGTCGGCTTATAGGCATCTGCCAAGTTGAACTAAAACAGATACAGTATTCGATCTTAGTAAGAGTTGCTAGTTTCCATTAACATTATTACTTATTGTAGATAACTCGAAGCGAAATTTATTATGACGCTTTTAATTCTGCTGGAGCTCAATTAATTTTTTTTAATCATTATTAGTAAACTTCGGAACGACATTGTCTAAATAATCATAATCCTAAACTTACAAAATAATAATGAGTTACCTCGGTTTGGCTATTATAACTGAGAGAGATAAATTTCATCACTTCTAGAGAAAAAAGTTTGAGAAAAAATGATGGTCATTAAAATATTCAAATCATTTGATCATGATTAATTTCGGATTACTGATTTATGAGCAACCAAGGCCAAAATGGAAGCTGTAATTGACATAAATCAGTTAAAAACTAAAATATAAAAAATCTTGCCTCCCGCCAGACATTGAGCTCCTCGTAATCTGTCCAAATTTTCCCCTCCGCGTCATTACTGTACCTAGAAGAACAAAAAGCCTGAAAACAATTTGAAATATACCTATTTTAGTTTTTAAACCGATATAGTGTTTATTTAAATATTTTTATATATAGATGTAATATATCATTAGAATCGGTAATATATCAAACCGATTTTAGTTTTTATTCATTATGAAGATTCGTTTTTTCTACCTTATTTTGAACGTGTGCACTGTTGTGTTGAGGTTGACATAAATGCGCGACAGTAGAATCTCCTCGACCAGCGCTACCTGCTCAAAACAAAAGCAACTCAAAAACAATAAAAAGTTCCTCCCATTTTTCAATGGTCGGAAGAACTATTTCGAAAAATGGAAAAAATAATCTTCATTTGAAATCATGTCCAGAAAATTTTTGTGTGTAAGAAAGAGTGGAGCGAGACTAAAAGCTGGCTTAAAGCAATCTGCCAAAAGCTTTATGCAATAAAAAAAATTACGAAAAGTCAATTTATCTTAAGTGAACTGTTATGAAGAGTGACTCCTCCGAGAAAACACTGGGACATTTTTTGAAAAATTTTGGCTGTGAGAAAAGTTTGAATATCACTGAAACTTATGAAAAATACTTTAAGTTTTTTTTGCGCATCAGAGTTTCTGCTTAAGGGTAACAACTATAGTCAAGAATCATGCTACCCGAGTTGACAAAAAAAAATGGTCATGCTATATCAGACTTGTGAAACAAGAATTTAATACGTCCAGAAAACTATCATTTTTCCTTATGTATAATTTAAGTTTTTCGAGTTTCGGTCAACTTTTTCAGTGTTTAGTCCGAAGCTTACTAACCAAAAATCTTCTCACATGATAAAACCAACTGGTTGATTTTGATTGTCAAGAATCCCTCAGATAAATTGCGTTAACAGACTGACTGTTGAAACTACTCATAAAAATACCAAATACTTGTAACTTTTTACAAACGGCTAAAAAAACTTTTTTTTTGAAAAAAGAGGGCTTGTTGATTGCGGAATTTTTTTTTGAAACATTAGTTTTTTATCAATACTAAATAAAAAATAGGGTGCTGGCTGCATGCAAAACACACATTTCACATTTTTGTTTTTGTTTCTTTTGCGCAAAGAGACTCTGCCTGGACTACGTTATAGACAAAAAATTTCAAACTTTCCTGCAAAAAAATGACGACGTTTGTTTGGTTGTGTAATGTTGAAAAGTGCAAGACTAAAAAATTTTCGCGACTGAAAATTTTACAAGGCTAAACTGTGTATTTTGTGAATTTTGAGCTGATTCCACAACAAGGACACTCCCTTTGTTCTTTTTTGTTTTTTCTTTTTTTCTGATCCTTCCAGCAGAATTTTAACAGGTTCAACCACTTGTGTCTCCAATCCGGGAATTAACAGAAACAAAATTGTGCATCTATTCAGTTCACAGTTTGGCCGCAACTAAGTTTTTATATTTTTGTTGATATAGAAGAAAAAGTTACATTTGAAATCATAAAGTTTTCATAGTAAGAATGGGTACGCAAATTCAAATGACAAAAATCACAGTTTTAAAGTTGTTCAAACATTTTTCAAGAAGAAAAAAATAATGGAAGCAAAGGGTCATTTTTTAAATTTTTTTCTGGTTTTTTCACGAAGTAAAGGGGAGAGAGAATTATTTTCGCAATGAATCAGCATAATTCTCGTCTTTCAGAGAAGATTAGACAAAAATTGGGAAGCAAACCTCCCCAATACAGGTTTCTACGTTTTTTACTACTAAAGTTTTTTCAGCAAACGCTGTTCTGTTTTTGCAGTTTTTTTTATCTAATTCTGCCGTTTTTTACCTAAATATAGTTTAGAAAAACGATATTTCTTAACAGATATTGGCTTGAAGTGAAAAAACAACAAAAGCGAAGGATTGGTCGGAGCAATACAGTTAGCCGGTTTCTGAGCACTTATAAACGACAGAACGCTGCCACCACGACACTTTACAAGAAAAATAAATTTTAATAAAAAATTGGTTTCATTTTTTTCCAAACGTATTTTTTTAATTGTGCAAGGCTGGCGCTTTTAAAGATTTAAACAATTTATAAGCAACCTAGGGTATAAATTTTACAAATTTTAGAAAACAAGACTTCTCGTTTGAAGGCAAATTACTGATTGTTTGGACTGTCTCATAAGAAATAAGAATTTTTAGTTTTTGTGGTTAAAAGTTCACCCTGCACGCAATATCAAGTACAGAGTGATATATCGTCAACAAGTAGAAAGATATCGCAATTCAATTGCGAAAGTTAACGCCAATTATTTAAGTTGCCGTAGTTCAATTTCTATTGTTTTTTTTTTCGGCGCCCACGCCACGCTTTCATAGAAAATTGGTAATAAATAAAATTTGGTATTGTAATTTCTTTCAACTTTTCAAAAAAAAAATAGTAGCGGAGGAAGTATCATTTGACTTTTGAGCTCAGATCACCAACTTCATTTAAAAAAATTTTTGCGTCAGAAAGTGCATCAGAAATTGTTAGCTTAATAATAGCCAAAATTGGTCGGAATATAAAACAGCAAAAATAAACTTTTCGTCATTTTGAAAGTCAAGAGGTTTTAGTAAAACTAACGACATATTTTCAATCCTCGCTGAAAAAATGTCATCAATTCAACTAGAAACTAATTTTTTTTGAAAATTTTGTGGACCCAAATTTTAGGTCGGCAAATGCTGTTTTTTTTCTCACCAAAATCTACACAAAAAATTGATTTCAATTAAAAATCTTTGCAAGTGTGTGATATCTTTCACCTTGAGGGACTGTGCGACATTGTACTGCCCTGCCCAGTTGTTGGACTTGTAGCCCCTGTCACTCAAGAGGAAGCTCTCAGTTGCCGAATGGAGTACTGGGTTTAAGTAAGTGGAGGCACTCAACTGACACGGGTAGTTCTTAGTCAAGTCGTGTACGTCTATCTTGCCCGAGCAGGTTGCCTCTGACGAAAAAGCATTCTTTAACGATTTTTAAAGATTGGAGTATAACAGAAAATTATTTAGGACCGATAATGTTTTTAGAAAAAGTTTTTAAAAATTATCGCCGAAGCTCGTGTTGACTTAGCAGGGATATTCATCCCTGATTCAGCAATATACCATGAATATGGCTCCACTCTTTGATATGGTTCCACTCTTTGATGATTTGAAGGTACAGACCTCGCTACTATTTTACTACATATAATTTTGGGCTTTGGTGTCATATGCACTAAATGTAAGAGGATTACGCACCGAAAAATTGCGATAATTTGTTTTCAAAAATTCAAGAAAAGCCAAACACTTTCAAAAAAATTCCAAAAATTCAAGAAAAGCCTTTTTTCTGAAGTTTGTCTGCTGCGTAAATATTTTTCGAAAATGGGTCTCTTTGTGTTTTGGGACAATTCTCAACATTTTCCACAATGGTCGTCAAAATTTTCAAAGTCAAACCCGCCCCCTACCCCCTCTCAGTTGTCCTAGATACCCCCCCCCCCCCCCCGAACTCTCAGCCTAGTAACAAACCCCTTACTGGTTAAAGGACCGTTATAGGGAAGGAGTATATGTTGCTTTGGGAAGGGGGTTTAAAAAGAAAGAGCCCAATTGTTTTTATAACCACTGTAACAAGAGTGATTTATCTACCTTGTACAATCAGTTGGATCTCTTCACTTCTGATTTTGGGAGCAAAAGTGGCCAGTGAAAACCTGGCGTGGTCGTTTGTGCGGTTTAGTTTCCTGTAGAAGTACTCGAAAGGCAGTGCAGTCAAATAGATGCGGGCACTTTTGAAGTAGCGATGGTTCTCTGCGAACTTGAAGGTAACGTTGAACCTGGAAAATCAGCTGATAAATTTATCAAAAAATTATCAAAAATTATCTACAAACAAGCTTCAGCTGATAACTATCAGCCTCGATCGATCCTTTTTGACAAATAATAGTTTTCGCGGAAAAACAATAAAAAAAATTTAATGCAGATACTCTTTCCATGAGAATAGAAAGAAAAAGGAAGATTTGATAGAACAAGGAAATCAGTTGCGTCAAAGTTTTCTCAGCCACAATTTTCCAAACTTTGCCGATGAGCTATGCTAAAGTTTCGGCTCTTTTCCAGTTTCCCCCTTCAAAATATCGAGTTTTATATTTGTTTTACGTGTTATTACGGCTAAATGCGTGATGTTACGCTGTAAAGTATGAAGAACAAATCTGTTCAGAATTGTCGATTTGTTCATCACGCTAAATTTCATTGCATTATGACAACGTTAAATAGACTTTTCAAAATTGAATTTGAAAGGGGTGGAGAAACTGGAAAAGAGCCAAAGTTTCTATTTATAATGATAAATCTGAGGATTTTTGTTGCCAATAGTCTTGGTGGGAAGGGGAGAGACAAAAAGTCGCTTTGAAAAGATCTTTTACCTCAGAAATTCCGTCTTTTCGATGCTGCGGAACCAGAATTCAATTGAGTGGGGTCTGTTATTCTCAAAGTAGGCATCTCTGCCGATGTTGTGAACCCAGTCTGTCTCGTAGTAGTCGGCATAACTCGGCAGGTGTACGACCACTTTGAAGTCACGTGCTTCCGCCGAAGAGTCACAGTCGTGAAATAAGTCCACTTGGTAGATGCCTTTGTCTCTGTTATAAAAAAAGGTTAAGTTGTTTTGAATCACTATTTTGATTTCATTTAAACTCATAAAAAAGTTAAAAACTGTTCACGCTATTGCATTTAAAGATTTTATTCCAAGACTAATTTTCGCAAAAAAAAAAATAAAATAAAAAACAGTTTGGCAGAAACCCTTGCCACAGTAGTTTTTAAAACTAAAGTCTTTTAAGTTTGTACATCGATCCGCAAAAATAACCGATCCTAACGTTCGAAAAATTCCCATTAAATAAAAAAAGTAAATCTTCGTCAGGAAGTTATGTAACATTCTTACCCTGGCATCGCCTCTCGAGGGACCAAAAAGTAACTCGTCAGGTCCATCAACACCACTGGATATCGATCGGGTGTGAACTCCGTCTTAATAGACACCGGATAACTGGACAACAACCCATGATACACAGCGAGAACAGACACAATCAGAGTCGCATCATCATCGACGTCTTCTAGGAAGAATTCGTCGTTTAGCTCGAAGTCAATTGCTATGAGAATGGAGTTGGATTGAGTGTCAGAGTCGGTTGGTCTGACAGTTGAATGAAAGGCTAATCTGGCATTGGCTACAAAGAAAAACTGTTATTTTCAATCCAGGTTTAAATTTAGTTAAATATTTTTAGCATCAAGATTTAGAATTTGAAAAAAAAATTGTAGTTTTACTATTTTTTTTCGAAATAGAGTTAAAAATTTATCAATTCATTTCTAAAATTTTTTTAAAAAATTGATGAAGCAATGGATTGTTAAAAGTTGCTTCCAAAAAGTTTGATAGAGGTTAATAAAAAATTTTATTCAACATGGATCATGTTTTCAGCAAAAAAAAACCGTTTGTTTTTTCATCCAGTTTTTTATCTAGAAAATTTTCTTCGAGTTTTTCATGAAGTGGATTATCTGAAAAAATTGAGTTGAAAAGAGACAAAAAATTATAGTTTAGGCAACCATGCTGTGCCAAAAGGTACTTACGGATATGCGAAATAACTCCCAGATTCAGATACGCCGCTTGTGCTTGCAGTCCATTCGAACTCAGTGAATCTGTGAAATCTTTTTTGTACGACAAAAAATTGATTTGCATCGTATCGTTCAGATCGCAAGCTCCGTAAATGTCTGTTCCGATGTCCAGCAAATGCATTCCGAGGATAGTGAAAGCGGCTCCCCCTTCGAATGAGTTCCCTGAATGGTTCCACGAATATTCGGGCTCAATTACTACTTGGATCTCGTCGGTCATGAAGTCGTCGAGAAATACTAAAAAAAAACAGCGAATTACATTCTTTTGGTTCAGTTGAAATTAAAAAAAAGAAGCTTCCCTTTTTCACCATACACAAAATATAAACGAGAATAGCCGGTTGCTGTGCAAGTATCACAGAATGTTCCGAAAATATTCAAAAAACTACAAATTAAAGTTCAAATTATTGAGTTCTTCAAACTAGTGTCGCTTTTTGTAGGTGGCGTGATGATAAAATAATTGTTGTGATTTGTTTTATGATTATCATTATGACCTTTGGTATTGATACCAGTCAACACTTTACATGAATCGACCATCGGTCGATCACTACAAAATGGTGTTAGTTTTTGGAAGAAAACATTTTGATTCACACTTCATTTTACTTCTTTTATTCTTTTAAGTGTTTGTACCTAACTGTACATACCTACCTAGATTATTAGTACATTTTATTAAATATAAACACCCGCGTCAAAGCTGGTAAATTTTTTTTTATATTAGCTCCTGCGAATCGCAGAGGAGCTATCAGCAGGCCTTAACAGTCCTGTCAAGGATAGTCCATTTGTATTATCTCCCCACATTCCAGACAGTGTTATTTTGCTAAGCGAAGCTGTTTTGTGCGACTCAAGGCCGTTTTTTTTGCGTCTAGAACTTTTACGTGGTACCACTATGCAGCCAAATTTGGTCAGGTTGTGGTAGAGGTGGAGGCCAAGTGAGAGCTTGTCCTCACACACTATCATTGCCATGGCATGGGATCGAATACACGATCTGACGATTTAAAAGTGAACGCCTTACCACTGTGCTAAGTGCCTCCTTAGCACATTGGTAAATTAGGCATAATCGACAACAGTTGCCTTCGAAAAAATCAAACAAAAAATGACAAAAAAAAACGTTTTTTTCTACTTATTAAACTAAAATTAAAAAAGTAATAAAAGAAAAAAATGTTGACAGGTAAGTGCCATACGTATTTTCTATCTATTAGAAAAATTTGAGTTTCTTAGCCTAAACTACCAATTTAACAAGTTATCCTCGCTTTATTCTGTCAAAGTTGGACAAAAACCAAAAGTTTCAAACGGGCCAAACTGACAAACTTGATATGGAAATTGATCCTTAAATCAAATTTTATATAAATAAAACTGTAAGAAGTTGGTTTACGATAGCATATTTAGACGCGTAAATTGATTTAAAATGGATTGAATGGCTTTTTACGGAAGAAAAAAAATTAATTGCCTAAAAATGTAGACAAAATTGATTCAAATCGCCTTAACTCGACATCGTTGTTACTATTATTTGGACGAGAATAAGTCAAAGTAAGTTGACAAAAAATGCATTCAGAATCGATTGAATTTTTTTTTCAAACTGCATTTTTGTATCAAACTAAATCGATTTTAATTTGATTCAAATCCTGTTTTATTAGATTTTCGCTATATTATCTGTAAAAAAACCGATGATTGCAATCCAATTCTTCTCAATGCGAAGGTTTTTCTCGGCACTGGAAGTTTTTTTGAAAATTTTTATGTTGTTGGATTCACGACTCAAAGAGTTTTAAGAAGATATGCCAAGCAACCGATTCCAATGATTAAAACCCGAATATACAAAGTTCTTCCCCATTTTCAATGGTCGGACAACAAAATTGAATTTTTCACGTGATTTCTTCTAATTAAAACTATTGAGTCGATTTATTTTTTTACGCACAAATTTTCTAAAAAAAATTTATTTAAGTCATATGGGGCCATAACGGTGGTCAGAAATAATCGATCAATATAAAATCAAAATAATCGATCAATATGAAATCGGCGATTGAATATTGCCGTGAATTTTGAACCTTTCAAAAAGAATTCACAATTTTTCTAAAATCATTCAAATCAGCATGTTTTGACACCTGAAAAAATGGTATCTGTTTTATCGCCACTTCATCTCAAACTTATCACCACTTCATCAGTTTAAGCATTGTCTGTTTCTGTTATTTCCTCAATGCGAGACCAAATTATATTGTTGGGCGAAGCTCTTTTTTGCAATTCTAGGCTGTTTTGTTTTGCGTCTAGATATATTAGCAAGCGCAAATTACCCTCTAATATGAATCTCTCTGGTGCTCCTGATTTGGCAGAAAATGGCCTGTCATTCACAATTCTGCCATCTTTCTCCTTGTGCATCTGCGTGGAGATCTCTTTTCCAGGCACCACTGACGACTGCAGATCCTGAAATTATAGGGAAATAACGAAAACGGGTTGCGGTTGTCAGAGTAAAACAGATTGTTCTTCAGTAAACCTTTTTTTGCGAATCACTTAAAACAAAATTTAAAATGCAAAATTTTATCAAAGCGTTTTTAAACAACATTTTTTTCATTTTTCGTTTTGAATTTTTATAATGGCTTGATATTAAAAAACACAATTAGTTTTTTACCTAAAAATCTTAAAAAAGAGTGAGCTGTAGTCAATTTATTTTAACCTACTCCTCACTCTTTGTCTAAATTAGCGAAAAATTGTTGCCGTTTGTTCGGGACACTGGAAAAGTTTTTCCTGCAAATCTCATTGCGGCTCGAATCACGATTGGAAAGGATTATTGGGGCGTTTTTGATGTTTAAATGCTGTTGTTTTCGAGCTTATTTTTGAGCTTACAAATTGCTCTGATCTGAAGAAAAATCTTTCACCTTCGGTGATTGGAACCGCAGTAATCTGAAATTTCTAAAAAGGGAACAATTGCATTTTGCTGATTTAATTTTTTTTGAATAGAAGTGAAGTTGGGTTAAGTGCTTAGTCTAAGCTGTAGAAAAATGCTCAAAATGAGGCAAAATTTGTCTGGTACTCATGGTTTTTGCAATTTGCCGCCCGCTGAATTTAAAAAAAAAAGAGTTACGTTTGCTTTGGTTATACAGATATTTTAATTTCTGATATTTTTTGATAAAGCGACAAAAACGAACAGCTCCGATTAATTTGTACAATATTTTTTGCTTGTTTTCTTTTGTGGTAGAGTTTGCATTTTTTCCACTTTTACAACTATTTTAGAAATGAAAACAATGATAAAATTAAAATGAATACATTGACGTGAATGTCGATGAAGCTAGCAGTGACTGGGAAAGATTGATTCTCCACTTCATCATGGACAGCTCCGATTAATTTGTACAATATTTTTTGCTTGTTTTCTTTTGTGGTAGAGTTTGCATTTTTTCCACTTTTACAACTATTTTAGAAATGAAAACAATGATAAAATTAAAATGAATACATTGACGTGAATGTCGATGAAGCTAGCAGTGACTGGGAAAGATTGATTCTCCACTTCATCATGGACTACAATGGTGAGTTCCAATCCCAATTGAGTTCCAAGAGTGCAGTATTCATCTACTGCTACCACCGAAGAAAATAGGATCTGAAAATACAGTCAGAATTATCAGAAAACAAACAAAAAACTTGGTGACATTGAAAAGCATCATAAAATTATTGAACTACTTTTTAGTTGAAAATGACAAACGGTTTTATAAAAATTTGCTAGAAAAATGGAGGAAATCATCTTCAAGTACTTTAGAGCCTTTGAGTGTTCTGGGAGTGCTTGTAAACTCGGGAGCGAGCGCTCGAGAGTCGACCAAAAAAACCTCATCAAGAAAACCCTAGATCTGCCCTTGCCTGCGGCTCAAAAGTATTTTTAGTGTTGTGCAGGGGCAGATCTAAGACTTTCTCGAGGGGTGGGGGCGGATATTCAAAAAATTTTTGAAAAATTTGACGACCTTTTTTTTAGGTCGATCAAATTGATTTTCCGAGCTCTCCTAAAGCACAAAAAGACACTGCTTCGACCAAACTTTCTGCGCCGCAGGCAAAGTTATTGTTAAAAAAACAGGTAAAAAAACCGTTTTTGGGCACTTTTTGGAAAGTTTTGACAAAAAAATCGGGTTTTTTTGGCGCGCTCTCCCCCTCAAAGTTAGTATATATTGCCGCCAAAGGCGCCTTCAGAAAAATTTTACTGTCGGTCGGCCAAAATGGATTTCGTGAAAAGTACCAAAGGAGGGAGCCTTTGGGCAGGCAGGGGGTTGAATCCCTGAATAGTGGGGGCGTCCCCCCCCCCTAGATCCGCCCTAAAAAAAGGTCGACAAAATGTTGGTCTACTATCATCGGAGATTGTATCGTTTAGATTTCATTTGTTTTTAACTATGACGTAATACCTAGTCGGCGCTCAAATATGGTTTTATGAACTGTGATAGATGCATAACGTATAAATTTAGAGTTTAATTTAGTTGAAGGGGGCACTATACTATAGTGAATGAGTTTCGAAAAACAGTTGGTTTTGCAAGAACTAAAGCTCTTCAAAGCTACCACCCGTTAACTTGCAGCTATTTTATGGCTATCTGTGTGACCAGTTGCAGGTGGTTTGCTCTTCAGATTCGTTCCTTAATTTAACACTCTTCTTTTGACTCTCTCGGCATTAACTATATTTTTGGTGTATAATCAACTTTCTCGTATATTTTTCGCTCCATTTTCATTTTTTTAGTTCACTCGAGCTGACAATTTTATAATACCTTTGCTATTTTTGAAACTGTTTTATTCTGACAATTTTTTGCTGAACATTTTTCAACTTAGATGATATATAATTATTAGGTATTTTGTTTGAAGAGCAAAAAAACTGGCATCAAGTCGTTGCGTAAAGAAGTAATAATCGATAGCTTTCTTTTGAAATTTCAGAGCTAAATAGAGAAAAAAATAACAAAAAAATTGAGAAAGCTATAGTTTGTTTCTGATCTGTAAATAAAAAATTGTATTAGTCAAGAGTTGTGCAGAATAATTTTTTTCGAAATCACCTGGTTTTTTGGGTCAGTAGTGACAATGTCGTTTTGGTTAATGTTGAGGTTGCTAATCATTCCAAAGTCTGCGTAAATTTCGTTCGGTGACCACTGGCATTCAGTGTGGTAATACCTGAAACAAAATCAGTTGTATTAAAATTGATTTTGATTGCTTACATCATTAGTATTGATTGCTTACAGGTGTGCAATGTGTTGTGTGAATTTTCGGGTATCACAAAATATGTTGCGAGGAATCAAGATTTAGTTTTCGGACGAAGTTTAAACGAAACTTTATCATGTGAGTTTAAATGAAAACCCGATTGTTGAGCAAGAATTACAAAGCGATCCGACCGTATACATTTTGAAATAAAATTAGAGGAAAAAAACATCTGCATTTTTTTCCTGGCCACTTTTTTTTTTTTAGAAATTTGGAAAAAAAAATGGGATATCGAATTGTAAACAGCAGGATTCTTGTAAATGTTTGCCCCTGTATGAACGGTTTCTGTTAATATATGCTCAGCAATAAAGAGTTTCAAGAACAAAAAAAAATTCAGGAGTGCCAAAAACTAATTAGTAAGCAAAAATTTGCAGAAAAAAAAGAAAAATTAGTTACTAGATAATGTGTATGTGGCAAAAAAAACAGCTACAAATGATGCAGTGTATATAGTTGTAACCGTATCAAATACAAAAAAACTTATTCTCAGCATTTTCTGTCATAGATTTTTCTCTGAAGATTATCCCGACAATTAAAGACGTTGCCTCAAAATCTTCGCTCTAAAAGCCTGTTTGACAAAGATGGCCAAAATTTAAAGCAAAACCAGAAATAAAAATCATTTGAAAGCACTCAAATTTAAAAATTTTTGAAAAATTATCAACTGTAGAAATTACAGAATTACAACTGTCGCAATATTTGAAACTTTTGGGTGCTTTTTTTTTAAATTTTCGATCTCTTGTACTTCGGCATCTTCGAATAACCCCTACGTTTTATTACGTTAAAGCGGCCCGAAAAATCCACCATGTGCGATGAATTCCAACCTAGGACACTTCGTGATAAGATTGGAACAAACATTGAAACAAGTTTCAACTTCAGTAGGCACGCAGAGTTTTCCTCACTCAGAACAGTTTTTCAGCTTGAAGTCACCAATCATTGCAATGCTCTCCCCATATGACATCATCTCTAAGCTTTCCAGTTGAACCTGACATGATCCAGAAGACTCTACAACTACAGATTTCAGTCCAAGTTCGAGCCTCCAGTTACTTTCAGACGCAAAGTAAACGTTGAAAGCTACAGAACTCGCACCAGATTGTGGTATCAACATTGGTTCGTTTTGGAACTCGGTTGTAATTGTTGGCTAAAACCAACAAAAAAAAACAGATCCAGAAGGCGCTTTTGTGAAAGTCGATTCGGTATCCTTATCAGTGCTATTACAAATGCAAATTTCATCAACACAGTTTTCTTCTGGTAAAAAAAATATGTTAAAATAAGTTGGATGATTCAATATTTTTCACCAAATTTCGTACCGGAATGGATTGTCGATAACTTTTGTCCAGAGTAACATTCGATTAAAAAAATAAAAATAAAACATACATCGATAATCAATTGCTTATGAACATTAGCAAGCAGATCTACGTCTTTTTCGGTCGAAAATTTTTTTTGATTTTCCTTCTTCAAGCTCGCATTTTCAACTGTAAGCATCCATATTTCGTTTAAAGATAAATTTTTTAATTGTTATATTTCATTTATTACAATGATAACCGGTAACTTTGGAAATTACACAGAATTTTTAAACCATAGTCTTACAAAAAAACAATGTTTTTTCAAGTTAGTGTCATTTTTTCTGTGTGGTGTGATTGAAAAGTCTGAACAAAGAAGAATTAATTAGGCATATTCGATAGTCATAGTCAAATAGGGCACTTGTAATGGATTTTTTTTAAAAATAATCGAAAAAAATTGTAAAAAAGTTTAACTTTCACTATTTCTTTCTAATTTTTTTTTGCAGAATTTGTTTTTAGAACTTTTGGAAATTTGACTCCCAAAATGCCGCGAAACTGCCAAAATGCCGCAAAAACTAGCTTTGCTCGAAAAAAATGAATTTTTCACCGCTTAAATTAGCTATTGTAATCCTGCACTCTGACTTAATTAGCTAAAAAATCGACCAAAATTTAAAACTTTCAAACCGACAACTTTTCTCGACAATTGCCTCAAATCACGACTAAAAAAACTTTAATACCTTTAATACGATATAATAAATATATATATATCTATCGACCCATTCCGATAAATACTTAAACATGCATGGAAAACAAAAAACTAATACACAACCGAAAACAAAAGTCCTCTGCATTTTTCGAAAGCTCGGAACAAAAAACAGTTTTTTAAAACTGAGGAATTAAATTGACCAAAAATTCTCCGACATAAAACCTTCGCTGCATTTAATTAATTTTTTCCTGTTGCTGTTAGGTTCATTGAATATAAGGAAAAAAATTGTAATTGGGTTTGTTTTAATTTTTTTCTTTTTTTTATCCGACATTTTAAAAACCTGAAGGAACTGTATTTAGGGTGGGCTTTAGATCGTTTTATCTTTCTGTTTTGTCTTTCACGCTAAATTAGGTTCCACAAAAATTTATCAGAATGGGTCATGTGATACTTAATATAAAGGCTTTTTCAGTCGTCAATCAAACGATTTTAAAAACTTTCCAAAACTTTTTTCCAGTGCAGAGAAAAACTGTTTCAAAATTTTTGAGCTGTAGTCAAATTTAAGTTAATAATAATAATAAGCACAGACCATTTAGGCTAAGGAACACTTGATTTCACCAAAAAAAACAGTTTTGGAAGCTTTACTCTTGTCCGTTAAATTTTTCATACAAAATTAAAGTTCTTAGTTGAGAAATTAGGAAAATTCTAGAGGTTTTAAAAAAAATTTTTTCTTCATTTATTCGCTTAGTTATTTATTGGAGACATTTTTAGTATTTTAAGCCTAATCACTAATTTTATACGCGTTTGTATAGTTTCTTGATTAGAGCACGCTAATTTGAAGATTAAAAAATTTTTTTCGTAATTTTTTTACGAATGTGGTCGGAGCATTCTGTGCTACTTGCACAGAAACCGGCTATTCTTGTTTTCTCAATTTTTGGTTTCAGCGGAACATCAGCCACCAGAAAAAAATCATCGTAAGCGTCGAGTTATATATCAGAATAAAGCCCCTTCATTCGTGATTTGATCAACTTAAAAATTTTCAAAAAATTCTCCTAGCTTGAAATTTTTTTAAATTCTATTTTTTGGTTCAGATCTTCTTATCACAGCACGCAAAAAATGACGACGCTAATTTGAAATTTTTCTGTTATTTTGTCTTGAGATTATGGACGGATCATTTTTTGCTACTTGCACGCACAGTAACTGGCTATCCTTGTTCCTTTTGAGCTTTTCTTACTGCTCTTTAAGCAGTTCTTGCTGTTTGTGGATGCTCATGTTGTTTGATATGAGGTCTATACACCCCTCAAAGTTAAACAAAAGCCAAAAAAATCATCAAAAAAACTTCTTATAGCGTTTTTCTTTTTTGTTCAAACTTTTGTGATTTCTACTCGCAACACAAAAGCAACATAACGTATTTCTGTTGAAACTTGCTTTCCACTGTCAAGACAAAAGCAGCATTTCACTCCCAAATTTGGTTGTTTCAGCACTATTTTCATATGCGAGAAATACGGGAGACTTTGTACGCTTGAGTTTTGTTTTTTGCTTTATTGCTTCTCCTTCTCGGATTTTTTTGGCGTTTATCTCAGCAGATACTTTGCCATTACCCAACTAGCGCAATCCACATTTTTTGTTTCTTAAACTTAGAAAAAAACAGAGTTATTTGCTGAAATCCAGAATCGTCGTAGCTTTTATTAAATTAAAGACTTTAATTTCAGGTCAAAACACAAATTAATTAGAGTTAACAAAATTGAAAAACAAAATATCTCCAAAAACAAGCTTAAGCTTGTTTGACTAACAAAAATAAGAAAAAAAGCAAACTCAAACAATATTAGAAATTAATAGGAGCATGAACAAAAGAGCTCTCGCAAAATTTTTACGTGATCTTGGAAGTTTCTAAGTTTTTTTATTCTGAGCAGCAGAATAAAAATCTTTATAACTTGAAAAGCTTGTTATAAATTTGAAATCAGTTAGTGAAACTTGCCAGCGATACTTGAATTGATAAAGTTTCATAAAATAACAAAAAAATAACGATAAATATAAAGAACTTTCATCCAAAACTTCGAATGAAACCATGTATGGCAAAAGTATCAGACCGAAATGGAAGTTTATATTAATCTGAAAACTAAATAATTTAACCCTTATAACTTGCAGGTTTGGTTTTCCAGTATAACGTTTTGTTGTAGTGTACCGACAGACGATAGCTTTGGAATCAGTTACCCCATATAAAAAAACTAATAGTCAGGTTGTTATTACGTAATATCTTATTATGAAATTTCTGGTTTGTTTCTGTTGTTTTCAAGGCAACTACAAAAGAAGTTTTTTTTGCTAAACTGTTTGTTAATCGAAACGACAACTGTTATCAATCTTTGCTATTCTTAAAAGCACAATTGAGAGTCTTCTATACAATTGTTTTTAAGTTTGTTAATCACTAATAAATTTGACAGTTTATCAGAAAAATCTTTATAAAACTGAAAATAAAAAGTTACAAAGATAACCGGTTGCTGCGCAAGTAGCACAGAATGTTCCGACCAAATTAACATAAAACTACAAAAGAATCCTTTTTTTTTCAAAATCAAGTCGTTCTTTATAAGCAATTTGATGAGAAAACTTCAAAAACGCAAAGAGATTCAGAGAATACAAGATAAAAATTGAAATAAAAATCACAGAAACTAAAAAAAAATTAGGGTAAATTTTGCCTGTGAAGCGATGAATAATTTTTGTTATAGAAAAATGATTTTTTCTTAGGATAAAGTTTCCAGATATGGAATGTCACTCGATCACTTTGATTGCTCGAAACTACATTGAAACTCAAAAACTTAAAAAATGGTTTCTCTCAACATTGGCAAAAATTGTTGAAAGTTTTTTAGAGTCGTTCGAATCATGGCTGAAAGTGCACCAAATATTATCTTATGTTTTTTATATACCATCTAAATACTGCCTACAGTTGTAAACTATTAACGAAAATCAATTTAGGCTGACAAAAATTTGTAATTTGTTCATCAGCTTCTAAAAATGAACCTATATGAGAATTTTTCTTCCTGAGCTCATAATAAAACGAAGCACACTTTCATACCTAGTCCAATTTGAAACTCAAAGTTTTGAATTTCAAACTTTTTTTCACTTATTGCTTTCAGTCAACCCCGTTAAATATTTATTTGCTGAATTAAAGCCGTTAAAGATTAGAACGGGCTGTGAAAAGTAAATGATGGTTTGATGCTTTTTGTATGTTGACTGGAAAACTTGTGAATCAATTCCGATTGAAGAGAACTTTTAAGACTTTCATTATCATCTTTTCATCAGTTTATGTAACATAAACTACTCAAAACAAATTAAAATGCAGTCGGAACATTCATGATTTTGCCCTAATACTAGCAGTCTTATTTATTTCTTAAAGTTTTTCTTAATATAATTTTCAAAATTTTCCAAAATCGTTCACCGGATTGCTTAAGTTCAAACTAATTCTCCCCTCAATTTTTAGCAGCTTATGATGTTTTGGTTGAAGTCCAGATAAAAAAGCAAACAAGACTGCTCGTATCAGCTTGAAGCCTTTAATGTTCCGACTGCCTTTTAAGATCTATGGAGCAGTAATAACCTGAAAAAAAATGTATGAAAACAATGAAATTTTTTTATAATTTGGGATTTTTGTGACAATCATCCCCCACACGCATTATAAAATACAAAATGATAAATTTTGCTCCTAGTAACAAATCATTTATGGCAATAAGCTTCTTTCAACCAAATAATGGGTTTCTAAGACCGATTAAAAGTTAATTTCTCCAAATTGGGCAGAATGGCAATTTTTAAACCCGTATAACCTTGCTAAAAATAATCACAGGTGAAATATCTTTTCATTTTTAAGCTCAATACAACAATACCTTTTGAATGATATAAAAGAACTTGTCAAAAATGGCTAGTTAAAACGTCGAATTTTGTCTGAAGAAAAAAATACCCCAAATTAATCCGTTACTTTCGCTACGAAAGTCGGAACAAAAAACTAACCCGAGCGAAAACATTCCGTTACGTTTTCGTTACGAAAGTCAGGACAATAAACCAATAAGTAATTTGACTTTGAGAGTATGATCTTCGACAATATTTTAAATCATACTCGTTGCCTGTTAAGTTTAACGTTTATAAACTATACTAACATCAGCCAAGGCCGTCTCGTATGTTGGATCGTAAGGAGGAATACTTTCACTTGCAAATTCGCAATAATATTTAGAAGAGTCATTGTAGTCAATACTGCAGAAACTGATGGTGGAATTCTGAAGAGAGCCATGTGAACTTGTGACTCGAATCTGTACGATTACTTCTATTTCGTCGTCCACTCTGCTTTCGTTTTTGAAGGAACCTTGAATGTGTAACAACCAAAAATATATTATCAGCTCACTATCAATAAATGCAAAAAAAATGATTAGGAGAAAATAAATTTAGAGAAAAGCACGTAAATTGGTCTCAGTGAATCGGATCTAGGATTTTCTCGAGGAGAAGCGGATTTTCAAAAGTTTGTCGAAAATGTAGTCGACTTTTTTTTAGGTTGAAGAAATTGATTTTCGGAGCACTCCCAGAAAATTATAAAAACCTATTTTGATTAAAAGATTTGCGCCGTAGGCAAATTAAAAAAAACAACAGGTCGTAAAAGCCGTTTTCGGGTATTTTTTGGAAAGCTTTGCTTCGAAATTAATTTATATTGGCGCGGAAGGCGCCGTTACAAAAAAATTAGGGTTGGTCATCCTAAAATGGATCTAAAAAATTAATACCAGTGGGGGGACCTTTTGGTTGATAAATGGGTCAAATCCCTGAGGGGGCGTCGGCCACAATCCTAAATCCGCCCCTGTGCATAAATTTAGTTTTCGAGTTTGAAACTCAGAGAAAATCTGCCAAGCAAAAGAAAAATTCTTTAATCTACTTAAGATTCTTTTCAAAACTTTTTAAGCCATATAACTGTCTTTAATTTTTACACTCGGGGCGGATTAGGATTTTGTCGAGGGTGGGCGGATTTTCCAAAAAAAGTTTCGAAAACTTTGTCGATCTTTTTCTTAGGTCGACCAAATTGAGTGTCCGAGCTCTCCCAAAGATCTAAAAAGACCCTGCTTTGGTGAAAACTTTGAAAAAAAAACAGGCTAATAAAAGCGTTTTCAGGCATTTTCTGCAAAATTTTGACCAAAAAATTGGGATTTTTAGGCGCGCGCTCCACCTCAAAAAAATTATATATTGACGCCCAAGGCGCCTTTAGAAAATTTTTAGGGCCACCAAAAACGGATATTTTAAAAAAGTACAACGGGGGTCCCTTTGGGTCGGCAGGAGGTCGAATCCCTGAAGATGAAAGACTAAACCCCCCCCCCCCTCGCTCCCCTCCCTTAAATCCGTAAAACCACTCGTTACACTAATATATTGAAGCTCTTGTGAGGTGGGGAAAAAAAGAGCCAAAACCGCCCCTGTATACACAAAAATTACCAACCCACTCAAACTTTTCTTCAAATTGTTTGGTCCTGAAATTAATTCCGTAATCGAGTTTCGGCAATTACATATTTACATATTTTGCATCTAATTTAAAGTAATAATCCAACAGTAAAATGAAAACATATCAACTTACCGAGATTTGCAGCAGCCCATGCATACTTCAAATGCTGAAAAACAATATTCTTGTAAAACAATATTCTGGTAACTTTTCTAATGAAATATGAGTATATGCTTTAAAACTGAACGGGCTTGTATTAACAATGGTTTCTGAGCAAAACTTATCTATTTTGAAGATAATAAGACAAAAAAAATAAAAACTTGCGACATTTAATCCTTCTGATACAAATATTTATAAAATTTAGATACATACGTCAACTATGAACTGGCTAGGATCAATGCTCTTCAGAAAAATGTTTCGTCCAGGATTTATTTCGACACTCTCAATCTGAAGATAAGATGGACTATCAGGGACACACAGAACCAGCAGCAGTCGGTTAAACTGTTCGTAATGACCCAAATACAAGGTCACTCTCCAAGCCAAGACTTGGTCTAGGCGGTTCCAGGGATTTGCAGTTGATTCTGACTCCAGAAGCGGGTAGGGAAAATCCGATTTGAGTTTATAATCTTCTTTTTGTTCCCACTAAAGACAAAACAGGTGTTAAGATATATTTCGACTTCTTTTATAACTTTCTAGTAGATTCCCTGGCAGTCTGATTTTGTAATGATCATTTTAGTGCATTTCAGTGAGTTAGAAATACTAGATTAGCTACAAGGTTTTCTACTTTAGCGTGACTGCACCTCTGTACGGGGGCGGATCTAGGATTTTCTCAAGGGGGGGATTTTCAAAAAACTTTAGAAAAATTTGTCGACCTTTTTTTGTAAAAAAAAATTGCAAAAAGCAGGCCAATATTAGCGTTTTTAGGCACTTTTTGGAAAATTTTTAACAAAAAATAGCGTTTTTTCGGTGCGTGCTTCGCTCTAAAAGTTGGTATATTTTGGCGCCTTAAGAAAATTTTTAGGGTCCGTCCGCCAAAAACGGATGTCTCAAAATGCTACAAAGGGGGGACCCGTTGGGTCGGCAGGGGGTCTAATCCGCCCCTGTATCTGTAAATATTGAGCCTTGACAAAAAATGCAGATGTTATGACATCCATTTAACATCCTTCGGCACCAATATATACCACGTTTTGAAAGGGAGCGCGCGCCGAAAAAACTCGATTTTGGTCAAATTTTTGCAAAAAAGCCCAAAAACGGCATTTTTAGCCTTTTTTAAAAATTTTTTGTTAAAATACGGTTTTAATAGTGATTTGAATGTGCTTGAAAAATCAATTTGGTCGACTTAAAATGAAGGTCAACAAAAGTTTCCGAAAAAACATAGATCCATCCTGAGTGAAACGTACTGATGTTAATGTCTCTTGGCACACATGTTCGTGCTCATCACATTTCTACAACCGAGTCACATCTGACCAAAAATGTAGCACTAATGGGAAGGGGTGAAATAATTTCAGTTCTGGACAGATCTGCTATTGAAAAAGACCAGGTCTTCTGAGAACGTGAGATCTGACCAACACGTGATCATATCTGGCTAACACATTGTTTCACTTTCGCTCTCAGATACATTCTATGAAAATGGCCACGTGCAATACCAAAACAATTACATCTTGTAATAAAATATGCAGACATGAGCAGAATAGTTAGTTTGTTATCTATTTATAGATGGAATAGAATTCCTCCAAGGCACTTAATTTTTGTTCCGACTTTCGATACGAAAGTAACGGAATATTTGTGCTCGAGGTGGGTTTTTTCTTTTCTTCAGACAAATTTCGACTTTTTAACTTGCCATTTTTGACAGAATTTTTTTTATCATTCGAAAGGCATTGTTTTTCTGAGCTCAAATTTGAAAAGATATTTCACCTGTGATCATTTTTCCTAAAGTTAAGGTGGTTTAAAGATTGTCATTTTGACCAATTTGGGACAATTAACGCGCGATATAATTCGCGCTATTAACGCGTAAGCGGAGAGTTAATCCGTCTTAGAAATCGTTCCAAATTGGTTAAAAGAAGCTTATTTGCCAAAATTGGTTTATTATAAGGAGCCAAATCTATCCTTTTGTACTTAATATGGCGTGTGGGGGATGATTTCATAAAAAAAATTTCAAATTTTGGAAAAAAAAATTTCATTTTGTTTTATTTCAATGAATTTTTTAATGTTATTACTGCTTAAAAGGCAGTCGGAACATTCAGGGCTTCGCCTTGATACGAGCAGTCTTGTTGTTCCGACTTTTGATACGAAAGTAACAGAATATTTATGCTCGGGTGGGTTTTTTCTTTTCTTCAGACAAATTTCGACTTTTTAACTAGCCATTTTGACGGAATTTTTTAAATATAATTCGAAAGGTATTGTTGTCTTGAGCTCAAGTTTGAAAAAACATTTCACCTGTGATCACTTTTTGTAAAGTTATGAGGGTTTAAAGATTGCCATTTTTTGTCAATTTGGGACAATTAACGCGCGATATATTTCGCGCTATTAACGCGTAAGCGGAGAGTTAATCCGTCTTAGAAATCGTTCCAAATTGATTGAAAGAAGCTTATTTGCCATAATTGGTTTGTTACAAAGAGCGAAAACTATCCTTTTGTACTTTATATGGCGTGTGGGGGATGATTTTCATAAAAAAATTTCAAATTTTAGAGAAAAAAAATTTCATTTTGTTTTATTTCATTAATTTTTCAATGTTATTACTGCTCCATAAACCTCAAAAGGCAGTCGGAACATTCAGGGCTTTGCCCTGATACGAGCAGTCTTGTTCTCTTTCAATTTCAATTCATCGATAACTTATAGCAGTGTTACTGAATTTTTCTTGTTCAAATTTCAATTAGTCCATAGTTTCTCTTCTTCTCTTTTATATCATTCAATCGTTTCTTTCCTTTTTCCCAAAAAAACATGCTAAATTTTTCAAAAACATGATTGGAATGGTTACTAAAGAACCATAGTTTCACTATATACAGATCGTTCAAAAAAACCTCACAAAATAACCAGATTTTTTTTCAGATTTACTGATTTAAGTTTAAATAATCAAGTTTACACTAGCCATGTCATCGCAAAACAGCAACTGTTTGTCAACACAACGAAAAACGTAAAAAAATGAGAATTCTTTCGATTATTTGCTGGAAATACTGCGTTCAAACTGAAAGGTGTATTTCTGAGAAATTGCAAGCTTAGCTCAGAGATATTTTATCTGATCCAGGTCTGAAGCAGTTATGTTCACCCTTAAAATAGATATGGCACAGTTGAAACACGGATCTGGAAAAAAATTGGCTGAAGCTGTTTATGTATGAATTCACCAAAGATCTGCAGCATGAACTCAATCTTTTTAGTCGATAAATCGTTTTAGGAATTGGGAAATTGGAATCTGGTAAACTAATTCCTGCAGTCACGGGTTGACCTCCATAGAACGAAATTGCTAAGCACACAATTTCATAAACTAAGTCTATGAAAAAATATTAATCATACAAACTTCATACTTTTTGCTGAAAGTTGTCATCCAATTTTTCAAGGACTTTTCTCTTGTTTTGGCATAAAATTCGGTGTATCGTACTAAAAAAACTGTCATTTTTTTTATTTCGGTAACAAACGTTTTTTCAAGTAATTTTGAAATTGGCCAACTTTTTTTGTTAACCGCAAATCGAACGTTTTACCCAAGCAAACATTTTCTCCAAATTTTTTTTGCATGCAAAACTTATTTTTTTTGTAAATGTTTCCCCCTTTCTTTCAATAAGTTTTTTCACAAACGCTAAAAACTCCCGTATTTTATGGAACTTTTTTTATATCTTAAATAATGTCTGAAAATTTAAAAATTTGAGTTTCAAAAATAACCTTCGTTGAACATTTTTAACAAAATATAAAATTAGCTATTTTTGTAATAACAATTGTGTAAAACAGCTCTTAGGCATTTCAAGGTCTTTTCTATGCATTGTAAATGCAAGAACCTCTATCCTTCGGTGGCTCTACCTCCGAGTAAACCAGGGTCTTTTTCACTTGCGTTCGGTTACAAAAACAACGCAAAACTTTTCAGAAAACAAATTTAGAAAAAAATCAAATTTTTTAGGTTTTTGGAAAATTATTCGGTATATGAAAAAGGCTTATCACGGTGAGTTCATGAAATTTTCAGTATGTATAGAATTGTATGGATTTATTTAGAAAGAAATTTTTCATATATGGAAATTGTATGAGTAGAAGTTTTGGTCAACCCGGGGTAGCGTGAGTGGAACTTTTTGGCAGATGATGGCCAGCCATTTTGTTTTTCCGAGCTCTGTTTTTCCACTTCCGAGCTCTGTTTTTGGCCATTTACATATTGGCGCCAAATTCGGATGAATATTAGCGTTAGGGTTGATCTTCGGAAATGGAACATTGAAAATATTATCACAAAGGAATACTGGGAACAAATTGGCAACCAGAAATGAGGGAAGCTGGTTGGGAGGTGAGCGTCTTTTACGCTCGCCAATCTATCCGGGCTGGCCGAAAGTCGCCATCTTAGAATTTTTCTTAAGGTTTTAAAAATTTTCTAGGAATTTCGTTTACAAAAGTTTTATTTTTCCCAGAAAAATTTCCCTAATGTTTTTTAAAGTAAGGAAAATCAAACAAATTTTTGCATAGTACTTTGCCATCGCAGAGAAAAGAACGAGACCGCTATTAACAAGACCTGAAAAAAATGGTTTGATTTTTTTTTTTGTATGAAAGAGTGTTTGTTACCTGAGAGTAGAGTTTTTCTTTAGAGAAAAATTTGTTTAGTTTTGTGGTCCAAAAATTCTCGACACTAAATGAGTTGATTAAAATCAGTTTTTTTGAAATTTAGCTGGCCCCAAATTACACTGTACAATTTTAAATAACATTTTTTTTCTATATTTTAAATATTTTAAAATATAAGTTCTGAAATGAAATTTCTACATACTTTTTTCATCGAACTTTTTTAATCAGTTTTTTTTGCCATGAGATTTCAAGTACATTAGATGAAGGCAGCAGTTCTCGATATTCAAAATTAATCTGTTCTCTGCTAGATATCTGCTACTGTCCAAATTCTTGGTTATTTTGAAATCAGCTTCCTCGACAATTTTTTTGTAGCTTTAGTTTTTTTGAATTTTTTCCATCTTGTGTAAGAAACCATTACTCATCCCCTCATAGCAATTTCATCTTTTCTTAGTATCATACGTCTAAATTCGTTATTTTTGCAAGATTCTGATAATTTATGTGACAATGGGGTTTATTTCTTTAAAACTACATATCTAAGAATCTAAAAAGAAAAATGTGTAAGTCCTTTCACTCACCAAATCGGGATCGAATTGTGGATATGTGAGGGAAGATGTGTTGACGTCATAATAGAGGAACATCTCGACTGTCCTGTACCACAGAAGCTGCACTCCGTCAGCCAAGTTAACCGTGACCTCGTGAGACCAACTGGAATCCAGGGCAGGGGGGTCATCAAACAGGAAATACTCCACTGAACCGAAAAAAAAAATGCCATGACGTATGAATATGTAGGGCGAAAGCAAGGATTTGGTTAAGTATCCACCCCTTATTTAGTACATTGCGACTAATACCTATTTAGTACATTGTGACAAACACTCTTCCCCCTTATTGAGGAAGATTTGAACAGTTAGGCACATGCAAAAGGGGGCAATATGTAACAAGATCCGAAAGCAGTACTTCCGACTCTCAATCATGAACTAAATGATTCAAGGACTAACCTGATAAATATGCAATGCGATTTATTTAATATGGGGCGTTTAATAAGCAACACTGTCGCCGGAAAGATTGTCACACATTAAAACTCTAAGAATTTTTTTTGTAATAGAACAAACGTGTCATCATTTTTTTTTCAAACGAAAGTGGTGCCCCGAAATTGCCAATTATAGTAAAATTCCTACCCGTGAACATAATCTGTCTGTCTCTGACGTCATCACTGCTCACGCGTATGTACTCCATATGACCCAAATTAAGAGACACCGACACTGAGCCAATGTCGTAGTGGGGGTTCGACACCAGAACCCGACTCTCGTACTCCAGCCACGAGTCGATCTTGTCTCGCAGTCCGAGGAAGTTGTCGCCCACGTGGGTGAGTCGCACCCGCTCGATTGAAAGACGAGAGGGAAAGTTGTCGCCCAGTTGTATTAAATCCGCATTGATCTACGAGAATCATTTCGATGAAGTAACACTTTTCTAGGAGTAAAACTTCTTGAGTTCTCATGTTTTTAAGGTTCTCAGTTTTTTAAGGTTCTCTTAGTTCTCAGGAAGAGGAAAACGAATGAGAGTCTTTCTTTGAAATCTTTCAATTTCTCATGTAATTTTTTAAATGAGAATGTCCAAGAGTGTAGTGCAGTCGCCCAAAATTTACCCACAGTAAAATTTACCCAAAGTAAAATTTACCCAAAGTAATTTACCCAAGTAATATTTTGGCAAAACTGAAAATTTAACAGTTTAAAGAACATAAGGCTGTAAACCTGTAAACTGAAACAAAAATTGCGCTGCGACGGATTTTGGGGCAAAAATAATTCGTAAAGACAAAATAAATCAAATTACTTGATTTACTTGAAAAGGAACAAGAACACTAACTTAAGTATTAAAAAAAACTTTACTAAATGGAACGAAGTCGGCAGATAAACAGTAGACATTCTCACCGAAAAATTATCGGCTCTAAACCGAGCGCAGTCGGCGGATTGAGTGAGGACAAAGTGAAGGGCTGTGGTGCTTCCCGCGTATAGTACAACACTCGGGTTTTCCTGGTCTGCGATGCCCGCGATCACCACATCATCCGCCGACAAGTCTGGACAGGTCTGGAAAAAATTAATCCTTCGTTAAGTTTTTTCAACTTCTCTTCTATATCGCGTTTGACACTTTTGAGGCTGGGAGGAAGCGTATGAAAGATTCGAGCGAAAAGGAGGCGGGGGAGTTGAGGGGGGGACGAACCCATTTAGGAAATCTACACCGTGTCAAAACGCAAAAGTCCCCCTTTGCTTTTTTGGCATCCATATTCGGCAGACTTTTTTTATAGGAGCTGGTGCAAGAGAGCTCCGATTCGCCAAGTTATAGAAAACAAAAATCAAAGAACTCCCTAATAAACTTTTTTTTTTAAATAAATCAATTTTTGTATATAAATCCTTTGTATAAGAGTTCAAATTCAAGTCAGCTATAAATCGGACGCATTCGGGGTCTCAAATCTGTCAGACCCTGAATAGTGCAACCTCATTTAGCAATCTAGACGATAAACAAGTGCTTTCCGTGAACTCTCATTTATTTCATTTTTTTCTTTTTTACACATCGCATCAAGCAGATGACAAACAAGCTCACGACATTTCATAAATTCATCCAGAAAATATATTTGCTACTCCTAAAGCAAATGGGGGGTTGGGGCTTTAGTAGGAAAGATCCATATTATCTTATATTAATGACACTTGCATCTTGCTGGGGTTGTTCGGCCGCATTGAAACTCCTGTGACACTGTGACCTCAGTTGACCTCCAGGCAACACCAGAAACACCTCAGAGGAGATCACCTGGAAAATCAAAACTACTTTTTATTTCAATTTTCAGTCTTGCTCATTACTCATTACTTATAATCTAGTAAAGAACATTATAAAATATCTGCTAAAAAAGGCCGGTTATTCTAATCTTTACCCCACCAGGAATTTCTTAAGTTTAAAAGTTTTGTGCCCATTGTATGATTAGCACGAAATTTGGTTCCTAATGTGGCTCTTTTTGCCTTTTACCCGAATGGCAAAAATTGTGTTTTCACATCACTTATGCATGCGATTATAGCTAAACGAGATTATTCATGCGATGGTCAAAAAAATCAAAAGTGAACGTGGTATATGCATGAAATCTTACAGACTTTTTCGAAGAACCAAGTAAACCAAGTAATGTAGTAGAACCAAATAAACTTTAAATAACCCAAAACCTATGAAAAAACTAATTGATAGCGAAGTAAGAATAACAACCAGAACAAGGAAAAAATTAGATCAATAATTTGTGTGCGTATATTTTTCTAAGAAATGTAAAAAATGGTTTAAAAGAAAGCTAAATACTCGTGAATGATGTGAAAAAATTACCATATTAGGACAATCTCCAGCTGAGAACCCGAACGTGCCTATGAAGTCAGTGGTGAACTGAAAGTGTTCTTCTTCGTTGAAATAAGAGGCATGTCTGCTATTGACCAAGAACTTGTCAAACTCAGCTGTCATCGTTCCGTCAGATTCGTCCCAGAAGGCAATATTTCCGCTAAACTCCACGTTTCTAGAAGAAAAAGTATTATATTCTTACTACGCCCTGATTGATAAACTTCAGCCTAAAAAATGAAGTTTGGATTTTTTAAAAAATGGAACATGAGCGAAAAAGTTGGACGGCTGCTTTGCAATTAGCGATTCATAGAACAATTATTATTCTGTTGCTATTGCTAAATTCTTCAAATCCATGATGATGAAAAATAAAAGTTTAACAACACTGCTCGTATCAAGGCGAGGCCCTGAATGTTCCGACTGCCTCTTAAGGTCTATGGAGCAGTAATAACATGGAAAAACTAAGTTTAAAAAATAATTAACAAAAATTGTCCTAAAATTTGAAATTTTTTATGAAAATCATCCCCCACACGCCATTTAAAGTACAAAAGGATAGATTTCGCTCCTTGTAACGAATCAATTATGGCAAATAAGATTTTTTCAACCAATTTGGAACAATTTCTAAGACGGATTAACTCTCCGCTCACGTGTTAATAGCGCGAAATATATCGCGCGTTAATTGTCCCAAATTGGCCAAAATGGCTATCTTTCAACCCCCGTAACTTTACGAAAAACGATCACAGGTGAAATATCTTTTCAAATTTGAGCTCAGGAAAACAATACCTTTCGAATGATATTAAAAAAATTCCGTCAAAAATGGCTAGTTAAAAAGTCGAAACTTGTCTGAAGAAAAAAAACACACCCCGAGCACAAATATTCCGTTACTTTCGTATCGAAAGTCGGAACAACAAGACTGCTCGTATCAGGGCGAAGCCCTGGATGTTCCGACTGCCTTTTAAGGTTTATAGAGCAGCATAGCATTAAAAAATAAATGAAATAAAACGAAATGAAAATTTTTTTTCTTCTAAAATTTGAAATTTTTTAATAAAAATCATCCGCCCCCACGCGCCATATAAAGTACAAAAGGATATATTTTGCTCCTTGTAACATATTTGTCTGAAGAAAAAATCCCACCCCGAGCACAAATATTCCGTTACTTTCGTATCGAAAGTCGGAACAATAAATCTGATGCTGGAAGCAGTTTAACTCTGAAAGGCTGTAAGTTTCAAAAGAATACTAAAAATATCCGTCCTGAGACGTAATCCTTGTTCAATTTTAATTTAGAAATTGCTGTTCTTCTATCAGGAAGCCAAGTTTTTAAGGATCTAGATATTGAACCAAATTTGTGTTAGAAAGTTCTGATGGTCGGTCGGCTTAAAATTTCAAAATGTATGTCCTTAAATAGTATCAGGTTGTCGGCTCTTTAATGGTAGAAGTGAAGCGCCCGGCTCACCCCCTCCCACTAAATCCTCCACTGTATCAATCTGTAAGCCATTTCTAACGTGCGTCCAATATCAATACAAATCCAAAAATTAGACGAGTAAAAGAGCGTCATTTTTTAAGAATAAAAAACCGAAAAAACAAACCGTTCAGTCATGACCATACGTGGTTTCACGTGATCAAACTTCTCCTGGCAACCATCCAGTTTGAGTGACTGTCGTACCACATAGTTGTTGGACTTCGTGTAAGGGGAGGGGGAGAAAGTACTTCTGATTGAGAACTCCCTTCCAGGGGACATCTCAGTGAACATGAAATCGATTTGGCAGTTGACCTGAAAGTAAAAGCCAGACATCCACAATAATAGCCCATATAAGAAACCCAGAAAACTCATTTTTTGGCGTGTGCAAAAAAAAATTATATAAAAATGAAGACAAAATTAACAAAAAAAAACAAAAAAAAAGAAACACGCGAAGCCTAAATTCCTTCGTGTGCAGTAGTCGGAACCAAGTGCGGATCCCCAGTCCGCCAACTTTTCAAAATAATTGAAAAAAGTTTCCCTCAGTGAGGTTAAATGGATAAAAGTTGATCATAATCAATTTTCGTGGCAAAAAAAAACATTGGCATTTTTATCGATTGTAATTACACTTTGGGACCGCACAACGATTATAATCCATTATAATCCATTATTTTTAGAGAAAAAAAAAATCCATTGAAAATCCATTATAATGGATTATAATGGATTTTATCTCTACAATTTTTTTGAAAACTTTGCTAGAAATTTGCAGTTTTTTCTGCATAACTCACAGCCTACTCGGTTTCTAAAGCTACTCACATTTAGCCAAATTTTGCAAAATCATATTTTTGCACCTACCCTCACCACATACGCCCCTCCCCCACACCTACTTGACACGCCCCTTAAGTTTTTTGGGGGTCGTAAAGGTCTCTAGGGTGTGTGTGTCTGGGGGGGGGGGTTGTTAAAGTGTGTGTGTGTGCAATTTAGGGGGGTAGGGGGGTACGCGTAGCTTTTTTTCACGTTTTTATACGGTAAATTTAACTAAGGGGTAAGTGTGGGCAGAGGGGTTGGTAAGGTAAAAATGTAAAAATGGTAAGAGTTAGCGTGATGTATTTAGGAGGAGGGGTAGACGAAGAGAAAAAGACAAGTAGAAAACAAAACAACTCTTTGCTGTAGACAAATTTAAACCACATTTTAGCAATTGCAACGTTCAAGTTTTGAAACTTTGATGATTTCAAGGTTTTGGAAAATTCAGGCTCTTACTCATAAAAAGTTATTATAACCCATTATCATCTATTATCATCTATTATAATCCATTTTAATCCTTTATAATCCGTATAAGTCAGAATAAGAATTCGCGTTTTTTTCTGGCAGAGGAAAAGGAAACAAAAAAGATTTTTAAAAAATCAAAAACGAAATAGGAAAAAGATATTGCAATAACCGAGTTTAGTTCACCGCCAGGAACTTCTTCGAAGGTCAGAGTTTCTGGATCGATTCCGGCAGATGGAGTACTCCCTCCAGAAGCATCTACCCGTGCAGACAGTTCGAAGGAGCCAGAAGCCTCCTCACTAGCACAGATTACAACTTCCATCACTACTTCATCATAGTCGCCTGCAGTACGAGCAAACATTAGTTTTTTTTTCAATTTTATCCTACAACTGTGCGAATAAATTGGTTCAACTTGAGAACGAAACAAGATCATGTAACACTGATGAAAATTTTTTTTGCTCAAAGTTTTTTGCCCTGAATCCAAAAAAATAATAAGTAAAACATAATGGCATTTCAGCAAAACAACAGAAAGTGCTTTTTTGAGTGACAAATATACTTAAACACCTGTACTTAGAGATCCAAGTCATTCTTTTTTAAATATTTAATTTTGAAAGTACCTTGCAAAAGCAAAGTTCGAAGAAAAAGACACGTTTAATTGAATCGAACGAGTAGCTGTTGTTTTCGCTCAAATTCCACAGTCAGCCGATTTGACCGTGTTGTTCTCAGACAACACCTCAATCAGACAAGAGTAAATTTTTGGAACAAATTATGGGCCTGTGTCAAGTCTGAGAGAACGTCATTACACCAAATAGTCCGTTTTCAAACATCTCCGAAAAAATAAATCCAAAATTTATTTTAAAAAATATAAACATACTTGCTGAATTCTTCTTGGTCAAGACACCAAAATCGACCTCAAATTTTGTCTTGCATTTTGTAGTATTGTAGGGTGGGTAGAATTTGGAAGTATAAAGCGGGAACCCGTCATCCCCACAGCCGATGAAGGCGACGTCCATGTGAACGGGTCTGAACTGACAGATGCAGAAATTGTTCCCATCGGGGTTCAAAATTTCGACTTCCGGTCGGAACCCAACCGAGTTGAAGGGATCTCTGATTGTCAAGTATGTTGATTGGGAACCACCCCTGACATAAGTTGGGAATGTGAAGCTCTTTTCAAAAGAGAGTTGTCGAGTTGTTGCGCCAATGTTTTCCTGAAAAAAACTCAAATTATTCAAAATAACTCAAAAATAACGTATCTATAAGCTCAGATAGATAGATTTGCATGAAAACAAAAATTAAGCTTCCTGGCATCATGCTTGGGTTGACACGAGAAAAAAAAAAACATTTTATTCTTTCAACATTAATTATTTTGAGCTGGGCAAGCAGGGAAAAAAAACGATTTTATAATCTACTTTATCAGAAACCTCTAGAAATGCACCTGATGTTATAATAATTAAAGCAAACTAAGTTTTTTTTTGTCGATGAATAGTTCATTTCGTTTTCAATACTGAGTTATTCTCTCTTCGAAGCCAGGTCAGGATCGATAAAATGTACGCAAAAAAACTCAGATTGGGTTGATTTTTTTGGTGCACAAAATTATTTTTTAAATTAAGCCAGAAGAACTCAAAATTTTCAAAAATTTATTGCGCTGGTAGCAATGCTTAAAAAAATCTTAAAAAAATTAACTTTAAGCTCAATTTTTGACCAATATCTAAATGTGATCAAATTCAGATTTTTATATTGTGAGATGTACAGCTGCGGAAAAGTAGCGCAGCAAAAACAGTTCGAATTCCAAAAGGCGATCTATGAATCATCTGATTGAACAAACCGGCTTGGGTCCCAGTACGAATCGAATGTCGCTGACCCAGATGTTCTGTGATTGGTTGAATTCCACGCCGACTCCCATCCAATAGGCTTCGTTTTCCACGTATTGGGAGTTGTCAGCAACGATCATCTCAAAGTTGAAAACAATCTTCTGACCTTGCGTTGCGCTCACAGAACTTCCAAAGTCAAATACGTATGAGTCAAACTAAAAAAGATCCGAAAACGTTTTTTCAAGAGACAATCAAGCATTTTAACTATTATTTATTGTCAAAAACAAATTTGTCGTGAGGCTCATAGCTTCTCAGACCTCAGGACAGGAGAAGATCTTGTCAATAAGATTTTCTTTCAGTTAATTTTTTTTGCAAATTTTTTGGCATAGGATCGTGGTTTCAACTTTAGAAAACAAAAGAAATCAGCTTTATAGCTTAGCGTATCGAGGACCACCCCCTAAAATAATAGGAATGAACTATAGGGCAGTGGGTTCTTTTTTCAACCTTTTTTGACTACATCGCACTGAATGCTAGTAGGGTTCAAAAGTAATGCAGTACATTAAAGTTCTTCTGTCGAGATTCACAATCTTGAGAAATACTGGTCTCAACTTTTCTGTTTTTCAGACCAAGTTTGACAAGAGTCTGAACTCCTCAATTCAGTAACCTGAGATTTTTTAGTTAGTTGCAGCTATTTATTTTTCTTATATCATTTTAAAGACCTTATCATTTACGCATTATCAAAAAAAAACACAAATTTAAACGAAGAAAAAAAGTGTTCTCCTTGTTAAAAGATAAATAGCAAATTAGTCAGCTCAGTTGAAAAGTCACAATCTTATATTTATCTTGGAAGAAAAAATCCTTGTCTTGTAACATTCTCAGAGCCTAAGTTTGTAATATGTAAAAATCTTCAAAGAGAGTTCTAAGATAGCGACTTCTGATAAACCCGCGAATATTAACGTGTTTTTTTTTAAGTTGGAAACAAATTAATTTATTAATTAGCCGACCATTTTGTCCTGGTATGTTGGGTCATAAGTAGTGCCCCATAGTCTGGGCAGGGCTGAAATGTCTGCATCAACAGTGGGTTCTCCGCAGAAAAGGAGACTGCTGAATCCGTTGTAGGAAGCCGACATCTCAACTAGCAGAACATCGTCTACGATATCATCCTCATGTGCAGTTAGTGTGAATCGGAAGGATATTTTATCGCCTATTGTTATAGTGTGATCGGTATCATCATTGAACGGTAAGAGGACTTCGAAGGAGTTCTGGTCCAAACTCCACTTGTTGTAGGTCACACCGGATCCTCCTATAATGTCAAAATACCCGGTGGCCTGGCCAACAACATCTTGAAAATGTACACCGAAATTTTGCAATTGGTATTTTTTCGGTCAAAAATGTCGAAACAAGACCGTCGATACGTGAGCATCTCGACCCGGGGGTAGTGCGAGGGGGTAGTATGAACTCATCGGTTGATTCAAAGCCACAAGTAGAGTCCATTCGTATCTTATTCTGATTGATGGGGGCAGACAGTCTTTATATATTAGGTACACTTTTAGGCCATATACTTCATTCATTCAGATATATACTTAAGCTGGGGATCTTTGAGCTGGATGCTTATTTTCATTCTCGTTAATTGCTTCTCAAAAAAAAACAGGTAAATTTCAATAGATTTGGCTCTATAATATGATTGGTATAATCGCAACCCCCACCCCGTCAAAAAGTTCCCGCGCACGCCATCGGGTATGCCGCGCGTAAAATAATTTATGCTCTAAGCGCCTACCATTCATTAATCATGCGATAAAACCTCATGAAAAGTCGAAAAATCTGTCAAGAGAAATCTGAGAAAAAGTCTTGAGAAATTAATAAGAGCAGAAAAATTTTACATTAGAAATTTTCTGGAATAGAAAAAGTTTTTTTCTACTATTAAATAATAGCAACAACACTTTTCAACGCAAGAAACCACAAACCTGTCTGCGAATTCTGTGAAATCAAAATCGAGACAACCAACAAAGTTCCTGTCTTCATTTCCATATAATCGGGTTTAATCAACAATTTTTTCTTCAATTTTCAAAACAAAGCTTTGCGATAAGCAAATCAAAGCTCATATTTGGCGAGGAAACTGGAAAATTTTGTTCTGAATATATCGCAAAAGGGAGATTTAAGTAATCAATGTCAAGTTCACCTGCTTTTGAAATTAGCCCAGCTGGTTAAATTTTTCTCTTCATGCACATTTTCCATCATGTAATTCCTTTCTGGTAAGAGCCATGCCAAAACTCTTCCATTTCTTTGAATTATTCACATCTCATTTGAAAAACAAACTGAAAAAAGTAGCCACTAGCAACAAATCGTCTTACTTGTCAAAAATCGAAAATTGAAACAAAAATTGATTAAGTGTTGGCTTCTTTTTTTTTTCACTTTTGTCCTGCCAATCCTTATAAGTGGGCCCACCTTGTCTAAATAAAACTATAGGTGATTGGTCAAAAAATATGGGTATAAGCAAAACAATCGTGCATTGCAATTTTATGAAATTCCGCAACTCATTCAATTAAGTCTGGGTTAAGTTAAGTCTAAGTTAGTAAAAAACCCAGCGGGTTTTTTATGTGGGACGTCTTTTTCCTTCAGGGATTCGACCCCCTGCCAACACTTAAGTTCCCCCATTGTATTATTTTCAGATCTCCATTTTTGGCAGACGGACCCTTCATTTGTTTTCTAAAGGCACCCTGGGCGCCAGTATATACAATACACTTAACTTACTTGAGGGGAAGCGCGCGTCAAAAAACGCAATTTTTTTGTCAAATTGTTCCTTAAAGTCCCCAATAAAACTTATTCTTATTTTTTACGCAAACATTTTTTTTTCAAAATAGGGTCTTTATAGTGCTTTGGGAGACCTCGGAAAATCAGTTTGGTCGACAAGTCAAAACAAAAACATTCCCGCATTGGAGTTCCATGAATAAAAATCGATTATAATTGAGTTTCATTGTCAGTGCTCACAAAAGTGAAAACAAATCGATTATAATCAATTAAAAATGGATTATAATATTATTTTTTTTCGGGGCAACAAAATATTGTTTTCATCCATTATAATCGATTTTTTTTCACTATTGTGGACACTGACAATGAAATTAAATTATAATCAATTTTTTTCCCTTTTAGTGAGATAAAGTATTTTAACACACATTAAAGCTTTTCCACGTTTTAAACTAAAGTTGATTACGTTGGTTACTTGTTGGTCAATTTAATTTTTTTCTGCCTAACTTTGATTTTTTTGTTACTTTTTGTGTTACTCTAAAACTGAATTTTGTTCCTTTCAACAATTCTGTTAATTTATTAGAAGTTACTATGTAAAGTGACTTTCCATTACCCCCCCCCCCCAGCGTTTGCCCATTTTTAAGAACCCCCCTCGGGGGTTCAGTGGGGTCTGGGTTCAGGTGGGGGTTGATCATTGGGTTCAGGTGGGGAAGGGGGTGGGTTCAGTGGGGGAGGGGTTCATTGGAGGGTGGGTTCAGGTGAGGAAGGGGTGGGTTCAGGTGGGAGAGGGGTGGTGGTTTCATGTGGGGGGGGGGGTGTTTAGGTGGGGGTGTTGAGTGGGGGAGGGATTAAAGGGGCAAACGTTAGGGGGATTGAAGGGGAGCAAAAGGGCAAACGTTAGGGGGGAGAACTTAACAGAATCTTTTTCCACATTGAGTTTTAGGTTTAGAAATGGGTTAGGCCGTACAATCGCTTTGCAAAGTTGCAGCATAACTCACTTGATAAATGCAGAAATTTTTGCAACATTTTCCACGACGCGCGAAACAAAAATAAAGTGGAAAAAAATCCATTTTAATGTGATTTCCTACTTATTATAAAATCCATTATAAGGGATTCCAAATGAATTATAATGCATTTTGTTTTGGCGAGAAAAATGGATTTCAATCGATTAATAGTCCAGTTTTGTTGTCTGAACGTAACATGGGAATCGATTATATTTACAACTTTATAGACCACGAAAATCCATTATAATCAATTTGTTTTCACTTTTCTTATATGCGGCTTCCTTGCTTTTTTATGGCCAGGAGAGAAACGAAACAGACTGGAGTACATTTTTACGCAATTCATATCGCGTTGAAGCGACTAGCATCTATGCTCATAGAAACAAAAAAAAACATAAGACTGGATTTTGTGGTCCCAAGTTTTTTCAATATAATTGATTCCCATTCGCTTTTGCAAAACAAAATTATTTTTATACGGATTATTATATTCTTTTCTCGAAACAAAACTTAAACAATTTTCATTTCATATAGAATGGACTATAGTGATAAAACAAAAATTCAACTTAAATTAGTCTTTACAAATTTAGTTTTTTGAATCATTTTGAGAATGTTATAAGAACCTATGAATCAGAGAAAAACCAGTGAGACTTGAATAAAAACTTAAGACATAACAATGGCTGATGATTTCTGAAAATATTAACAAGAGGAGATTACCAGGATACAAGTAAGGTCCCATTCTTAAAACCAACTTCGTATATGAGTAACTCTGATGAATGAAAAAACATTGAACAGTGACAAAGTTAAACTACCATAAAAACCGATTTGAGAACCGACAGCTCAGGCATTCTAGACTAATTTTACGACGTGAATAAAATAGCTGTTGGATGTCAAGGCCAGAGGTACATCACTCGATTTGAGAACCGCTCAAAACCCGATTTGAGAACCGCTCAGAACCAGGTTTGAGAACCATTCAGAACCCGATTTGAGAACGGCTCGGAACCCGACTTGAGAAACACTCAGAGCCCGAATTGAGAACCGCTCAGAACTTGATTTAAGAACCGCTCAGAACCAGGTTTGAGAACCATTCAGAACCCGATTTGAAAACGGCTCAGAACTCGATTTGAGAAACACTCAGAGCCCGATTTGAGAACCGCTCAGAACTTGATTTAAGAACCGCTCACAACCCGATTTGAGAAACACTCAGAACCCGATTTGAGAAACACTCAGAGCCCGAATTGAGAACCATTCAGAACCCGATTCGAGAACAGCTCAGAACTTGATTAAGAACCGCTCAGAACCCGATTCGAGAACCGCTCAGAACCCAATTTGAGTAACACTCAGAGCCCAATTTGAGAACCGCTCAGAACTTGATTTAAGAACCGATCAGAACTTGATTTAAGAACCGCTCAGAACTTGATTTAACAACCGCTCAGAGCCCGATTCGAGAACCGCTCAGAACACCATCTGAGAAACACTCAGAGCCCGATTTGAGAACCGCTCAGAGTTTGATTTAAGAACCGCTCAAAACTTTATTTCAGAACCGCTCAGATCTTGATTTAAGAACCGCTCAGAACCCGATTCGAGAACTGCTCAGAACCCGATTTGGGAAACACTCAGAGCCCGAATTGAGAACCGCTCAGAACTTGATTTAAGAACCGCTCAGAACCCGATTTGAGAACCGCTCAGAACCCGACTGAGAACCACTCAGAACCCAATTTCAGAACCACTCACAACCCTATTTGAGAATCACTCAGGACTTGACTTAAGAACCGCTCAGAACCAGATTTAAGAACCGCTCAGAGCCCGATTTGAGAAGCACTCAGAACCCGAAACAAGGACCGCTCAGACTTTTATTTAAGAACCGATCAGAACAAGATTTAAGAACCGCTCAGAAGTCAGATTGCGAACCGCTCAAAACCCGAGTTGAGAACCGCTCAAAACTCGATCTGAGAACCCTTAGAACCCAATTCGAGAACCGCTCAGAACTTATTTAGAGAACCGCTCAGAACCCGACTTAATAACCACTCAGAACCCGATTTGAGAATCGTTCAGAACCCGGTTTGAGTACCGCTCAATAGTTGATTTGAAAACAGCTAAAAAACCGATTTAAAAACCGCTCAGAACCCAATTTTAGAACCGCTCAGAAGCCAATTTGAGAACAGCTCAGAACCCGATTCGGGAACCGCTCAGAACTTGATTAAGAACCGCTCAGAACTTTATTTAAGAACCGCTCAGAACCCGATTCGAGAACCGCTCAGAACCCAATTTGAGTAACACTCAGAGCCCGATTTGAGAACCGCTCAGAACTTGATTTAAGAACCGATCAGAACTTGATTTAACAACCGCTCAGAGCCCGATTCGAGAACCGCTCAGAACACCATCTGAGAAACACTCAGAGCCCGATTTGAGAACCGCTCAGAGTTTGATTTAAGAACCGCTCAAAACTTTATTTCAGAACCGCTCAGATCTTGATTTAAGAACCGCTCAGAACCCGATTCGAGAACTGCTCAGAACCCGATTTGAGAAACACTCAGAGCCCGAATTGAGAACCGCTCAGAACCAGATTTAAGAACCGCTCAGAGCCCGATTTGAGAAGCACTCAGAACCCGAAACAAGGATCGCTCAGACTTTTATTTAAGAACCGATCAGAACAAGATTTGAGAACCGCTCAAACCCAATTTAAGAACCGCTCAGAAGTCAATTTCAGAACCGCTCAAAACGCGAGTTGAGAACCGCTCAAAACTCGATCTGAGAACCCCTTAGAACCCAATTCGAGAACCGCTCAGAACTTATTTAGAGAACCGCTCAGAACCCGACTTAATAACCACTCAGAACCCGATTTGAGAATCGTTCAGAACCCGGTTTGAGTACCGCTCAATAGCTGATTTGAAAATAGCTAGAAAACTGATTTAAAAACCGCTCAGAACCCAATTTTAGAACCGCTCAGAAGCCAATTTGAGAACAGCTCAGAACCCGATTCGAGAACCGCTCAGAACTTGATTAAGAACCGCTCAGAACTTGATTTAAGAACCGCTCAGAACCAGGTTTAAGGATAGTTCAGAACCCGATTTGAGAAACACTCAGAGCCCGATTTGAGAATTCTCAGAAGAAGCAGTTTTTTGAAGTTTCTTATGTATTTTTGACTGGAATTTATTTTATGCTTCCCACTTCGAAAAGCCCATGGCAGACTGAAATGTTTGATTTTCGTTGTCTCTCTTAAAATGCAAACATTTTCATCAGCTAGTACTATCGATGTCTTGCACAAATCAAACAAGACTGCTCATATCAAGGCGAAGTCCTGAAGGTTCCGACTGCCTTTTAAGGTTTATGGAGCAGTAATAACATTAGAAAATTAAACGTAATAA